GCTGCTCTGTCCCTCCTGGGGAGCAGCCTGCTCTGTCCCTTCTGGGGAGCAGCCTGCCCGGTCCTTCCTGGGGGGGGCTACCCTGTCCCTTCTGGGGAGCAGCCTGCCCTGTCCCTCCGGGGGGGGTGGGAGGCGCCCTCTCTCTGGAAGGGCTTTCCTGGCTCCTTCCCCCACGTGGCCAAGGCCCACGTGCCTCCCTGACCTGCCCCGTCAGTGTGGGGCTGCTCCAGACTTCCAGCATCAGCGGCCAGACTGATGTGTGCATGCGCTTGTGTGCCCAGGGGTGGTGGGCAGGCGTGGGAGTTTAAACGGGTATGTGTGAACAGGGAGGTGGGGTGCATGGGGGCATGAGGGCGTGTGTGTCCGTGTGTGTGTGAGGGAGTGTGGGGAAAGGCACGCAAAATGCTCTTTTCAGGACCTCTATTTCCCGCCATGCCACATAGCACTGCTGCACCCCCTCCCCGACACCCCCCACCCGGTTCTCCTAAGCCACTAGCCCCGAGTTGGTCTTTCATTCTCGAGGTGTAGCAAGGAGTAGAAATGCCTTTTCTGGTGCACAGACTCCTCGTGGCCACCCTTAAGGCCCTGACCCCATGCCACATGCCCATGCTGGGCATGGAAAGAGCAGGTGGCTCGCCCAGAATCCTGGGCCAGGCCCTGGGCAGAGAGGCCTCAGGCAGCCCACTGTGCACCTCGAGGTTTCCTCCCTGGCAAGGGGAGGCCGCATGATGCTCACACAAAGGGTTACGGGCGAAGGCTCGAGGTTGAGGCTCTCGGTATGAGCTGGTCTCTCCCCCTGGGCACAGTGCTTGGCACAAAGGGCTGGAGGCCAGGGTCTCACGGGCAGGACAGGACCCTTCCTCACCCCTCTGCTGCCCAGACCCCCGCTGCCCCACGAGGGCCGAGCCTCGGCCCCAGCTGCCTCCTCCGAGCCACCCACCAGCCTGCTCTGTCTCCAGGTGGTGGGCGAGTGGAAGTTCACCAGGATCCACTGTGACATCTTCGTCACCCTGGACGTCATGATGTGCACGGCCAGCATCCTGAACCTGTGCGCCATCAGCATCGACAGGTGAGCCTGGGGCCCACCCCGGGCGCCCCTTCTGGACTGCCCCGCCCGTCCTGCGGGTCGGGCTCTCGGTGCCGCTGTCGCTGCCACGTGCGTGCCTGGCAGGGCGGGCCCAGCCCCGCAGAGAGGCCGCCTGCAGTCGGGGCCCCAGCAAGCAGAGCCAGATCGATGGCGTGGTGGAGCAGGGATTTGACTCTGCCTGGGCCCGAGCCCCGTCTTCCGCTTACGTGACTTTGGGGAGGTGCAAGTTCTCCAGGGCCCAGTGTCACGGCTGAGGCACCACAGATGGTGACACCTGCCGCTGCCCAGTGACGGGCACAGCCCCGGGGTCCCGACCACTCTCGCTCGCCAAACTGAGTCCTCAGACCACTTGATTTGCACAGAGGGCGGCGGGCCCCAGCGGCCCGGCCTCCTGCCCTGGCAGGGTTCTCGGGGGACGAACCAGCTCTGAGTGAGAAGTGCTGGGCACAGCGGCATGTGACCGGCACGGTTGCTGCTGCTCTCATTTCCTGCTGCGAGGGCTTGGTCCTTCGTCTGAGGGGCCTGGCTACCCGCCCTGCCGCAGGCCGGCCCAGGGCTGAGGGTCAGTCCCTAAGGCGTGTCCAGGACAGTTAAGCCCGGTGTCTGAGCAGGGAGATGGGAGTTACAGCTGCGGCCTGTGGGAAGGGGCTGCCGGTCAGTCACTGGGCACCTTACTGGCCACCCTGATGGCAGCTGAGTGGAGGGCTGGTTCAGGGCAGACGTGTGGCTGTCTTGGCGTGGACTCACGGTCCATCCTGAGAAGTGGGGTGGCTCTGGCGTGTGCATGTGGGGGCGGGGCTCCCGGGCCCTCACGCACCCCGGACTCAGGCCCCGGCCCCACAGGTACACGGCGGTGGCCATGCCCATGCTCTACAACACGCGCTACAGCTCCAAGCGCCGGGTCACCGTCATGATCGCCATCGTCTGGGTCCTGTCCTTCACCATCTCCTGCCCACTGCTCTTTGGACTGAACAACAACGGTGAGTCGGACCCACCCCAAAGCCTTGCTGCTGGTGTGTGAGCCAGAGGGAGCACAGACGCGGGTGGAGGCCACGAGGGCCCTTTCCTCACCTGGAAGGAGCCCAGGCTGAGCCAGGATGCCCAGTGGGTGAGAAGCCACATCTGTGCCTGTAGCTTTGGCTGGGAGCCGGCAGCAGGGGGACGGCTGAGCAGCTTCCGTGTCACTGTGGGGGGGCCCGCAGCTGGGGCCAAGCTGAGGCCGGGTCTGAGCTCTTGGCAGCAGAGAGGGCGCCTGGCCCAGCCCCACCGTCCTGGGGCTCACGCAAGTCAGGGAGGCGGGAGCCGGGCAGCTGGGCCCCTTGGCAGAACCGCATGCAGGGAGCCCTCAGCGGTGCGCCCTGCGGGACCTCACGCCAGGCAGTGGGATTGGGCCCGAGCAGGCTGGGGTTCATCTGGGAGGCCCCAGATAGAGGACAGACAGCGGGGAGACCCGAGAGGACCTGGAAGCGTGCTGGGACGCAGAGGAACCAGCACACAGGCCCGGCCACCTCTGCAGCGCTGACGGTGCAGCCGTCCCCGCCAGCAGAAGCAGCACTTTACCCTTTTAGGGAGTTTTCTTCTATCACTTTTCTCCAAATGCCGTGGGGGACAGAGCTGGTGGTGACGTGGGGGCATGTGAACAGAAGCCAGCGCAGCTTAGCCTTTTGCTCAGGGCTGTTTTTAATCCTCACGATGTCTCCAGGCAGAGGAGACCCAGGCCTGGTCTCTGCACAGCCGCGCCTCGTCCTGGGGCCGGCTGACCGGGCTCTCCCCCACCCCGCAGACCAGAACGAGTGCATCATCGCCAACCCGGCCTTCGTGGTCTACTCCTCCATCGTGTCCTTCTACGTGCCCTTCATCGTCACCCTGCTGGTCTACATCAAGATCTACGTCGTCCTGCGCAGGCGTCGCAAGCGGGTCAACACCAAGCGCAGCAGCCGCGCGTTCCGGGCCACGCTGAAGGCGCCGCTCAAGGTCCCGGCTCCCCTCCCCGCGTGTCCCCCTCTGCCCGTTATCCAGGGCCTCTTGTCTGGCTAGGGGTGGGGGCCTGGGCCTCCAGGAGCGGGGGGCACCGCACGAGAGCTGCTCGGACTCCCGGCTCTGAACGCAGCTGCTCCCCACCGTCCTCACCCCCCCTCTCCTTACTGCCGCAGTCTTGGTCCCCCACGCCGCCTCCTGTCACGCCCGCCTGCGTATGTCTTGTGAATTCTCCTTTCTGCTCTGCCTTCCCTGAGGAAGGCACGCGCGGGCATGGAAGGAACGAGCGCGTGGGGTTAACCACGTCAGAGTCAAAGCCTGGCACTGCCATTTTTGCTGCTGACTGGCGACCTTGGGCAAGTTGCTTGACTTCTCTGAGTCTCCGTTTCCTCATCTGTGACGTGGGAGTTGCGAAGCCGGCCTCACAGGAGCCCTGAGGAGTCCTGCGGGAAGGGTGTGAGCAGCTGGGCCAGGGCCTGGCCCCAGCAGGGGCTCCCCGAAAGCCAGGTCCCCCTGCCCACGTCTCAACACAGTCCTGGCCGCTGAGCCTTGATGGCCTCCAGACCCCCCGCCTGCTCTGCCCCTTTCTGAGCCGGCGTCCACCAGATGACCCTGCAGGGGTTTCTGTCCCGTCATGACCGGTGTGCTGGCTCCCTCCACAGGGCAACTGCACCCACCCCGAGGACATGAAACTCTGCGCCGTTATCATGAAGTCTAATGGGAGTTTCCCAGTGAACAGGCGGAGAGCGGTAAGTGTTCAGGTCAGGGACCCAGAGACAGGCCTTCCTGCTGGGAGCCCACTGGCCATGACCCTGAGACCGCACCAGCCGGTCCAGGAGAGAACTGCCTCGTGGGGACTCCCCCTATACCTCACCACACACACCTCGTAAGTCCACAGAGGTAGACAGGTGGCAGACAGGACTTGGCCATCACAGCAAAACAAAAATAACCGTGGCCGCTCCTGGATACCCACCATGATCCTTTTTCTCCTCAAACACTCCCAGGGACCTGAGAGGTAAGTCATATTGACCTTACCATCTTCACCTAACAGAAGAGGAAACAGAGGCTCAGAGAGGCCAGGTAACTCACCTGGGGTGAAGCACGTAATCGGTGACAGGGCCCAGCTGAGTACAGGCCGTGTGACTCTGAATTCCATGCCTGCATTGTCCCCACTTGCTGCCTGTGGCAGGTGGGGCCTCCTGGGGTGGGGCACACGGGTGCAGCGTCACAGGAGACCCCGTGTTGCCAGGAAGTAGGAGTCCCACCCAGAGGACAGGCTGGGGACCCACAGAGGTCCCACACAAAGTCCAAGAAGCGGGACTCCTGCCACTCACCTGCACACCGCGGTGGGCCTTCTGCGAGCTATCTGTGAGACGCGCCACAGCAGGGACTCAGGGCGGAGCCCAGCTTCCCCAGGCAGTGAGGCCGCCCTTCAGCTCAGGCTGGCCCCAGGCCCAGGGAACCTGAGGGAGAACATGGACACTAAGAGGGGATCGACGCCGCGGCCTCCAGCTCGGCCCAGCAGGGCCAACGCAGCTCCTGGCCCCATCTGGCAGGACAGGGCCAGTCTCTGCAGTTAGAGCGTGAGCTGCTGGAGGCAAATGCTGGCTGCCAGTCAGTACCTCACCCAGGCAGCCCGCTTGGTGCCTGGCGCCTCGTGGCTCGGTTAACATGAGGGTACCTGGCGGCGAGTCCCACAGGCTGCTGGCGTGACCCCTGAGGCAGGGGCTGTCCTGCTGCCAGTGAGGCTGCGCTGGCTGAGCGCCTCCAGAGGGGGCTAGGGAAGGGCCCAGCGGGTCTGGCTGATGCACTGGAGACTCTGCCTCGCTCAGCCTGTGCTCTGCCCGTGCAGGAGGCTGCCCGCCGCGCCCAGGAGCTGGAGATGGAGATGCTGTCCAGCACCAGCCCGCCCGAGAGGACCCGGTACAGCCCCATCCCGCCCAGCCACCACCAGCTGACCCTCCCTGACCCGTCCCACCACGGCCTCCACAGCACTCCCGACAGCCCCGCCAAGCCAGAGAAGAATGGGCATGCCAGAGACCACGCCAGGATCGCCAAGTTCTTTGAGATCCAGACCCTGCCCAATGGCAAAACCCGGACCTCACTCAAGTCCCTGAGCCGCAGGAAGCTCTCCCAGCAGAAGGAGAGGAAAGCCACCCAGATGCTCGCCATTGTTCTCGGTGAGTGTACCCCGCTGGCCGAGGACAGGACAGTCACCGTGGGGCCAGGGCCGCTCAGGCACAGGCCCAGAGGCATTCTAGTGGGGTCCATGGGTGGGCTCTGGCTTCCGGCGGGGCTGCTGAGGTTGACGCGTCAAAACCCGCCCAGGGAGCCCCATGATTTAAGTGGGGCAGTCAGACCTGTGACCCTGCGCCGTTCACTTTCCTTTCTAGTTTCTTCAGTAGAGTAGGTGACTCCTCAGGCTAGTGAAGGCCAAACGCCACAAGGAGGGGACCTGCCAGCAGGCCAGCGAGGTCAGCGCGGGGGTTTTGGTTAAGTTGCTGCTCCGGGGAGCTGGGACAACTCAGTTCATTTGACTTGGCCAAGGCCTGTGCGCCCAGCTGTGAATGTGTCCCCACCCCCTCCCCGATAGAGGGCAGGGCCAAGAGTCTGCTAGAAAAGCCCGGGAGTCCGGGGCTGTTCTGGGTGGTGGGGAACAGGAGGGACGGCGCTGCCCGAGTGAGGCACCTCCGCTCAAGCCGTCCCATGACGTGGGAGACACAGGCGTCGCTCTTCTGGGTCTGAGGCCAAGTGTGGGGTCTGGCAGGTTTACTGACCTGTGGCCGGGTGACGGTGTGCATCCAGCCAGCTTGTCTGCGCTGCAGTCCTGTCCTTGTCCTTCCAGGGTTCCCGGCTCCCCAGGGAACTCGCCGTGCGCCTCCGGGCATCTGAGCACACCAAGGGCCCACCTGCCGGGAGGTCCCTAGTTGACTGAGTTCAGGCAGGAGGGACCTCAGCTTTGCCTTCCACATCTGTGGCTACACTCCTGTGACATGGATGTTCTCAGCCTCAGTTTCCCACCTACCTCCTGGGGGCGCCGGGAGCGAGTCGGAAGCTCAACATCCCCTTTTCTCCTTGGCCCCAACCCCCGCTGCAGTGAGCAGGTCTCCACTCCCAACGTTAGAGGACGGCATCGTCCTCAAGGAGAATGTAGCTTCATGTCCACAAGCTGACTCCGGTCAGGCCCGCTCTCTGTCCCTGTGAGGCGTGTTATGCAAAGTGGCTGGTCCCTGCGGGTGGGCGGCCTCAGCCTGACCACCGCCCTCTCCCCAGGCGTGTTCATCATCTGCTGGCTGCCCTTCTTCATCACCCACATCCTGAACATACACTGTGACTGCAACATCCCGCCCGTCCTGTACAGCGCCTTCACGTGGCTGGGCTACGTCAACAGCGCGGTGAACCCCATCATCTACACCACATTCAACATCGAGTTCCGCAAGGCCTTCATGAAGATCCTCCACTGCTGACCCTGCTGCCCGCCTGCTCAGCAGCCTGCTGCCCACGCGCTGCCCGGGCAGGCCTCATCGCCGTCCCTGGAAGTCTCGGGCAGCAGGTGTGGGGTAGACTCCGTCTTCTCTTCGGCCCAGCAGGCCCTGCAGTGTTAGCTTGGCACCGTGCCCCTCACTGCCCGCACACCCTCTCTTGGCCAGGGGCGTGCTAGAGAGCTGGGCACTGTGCCAGCCTTCGGGCTGGCTCCCCTGTTTTGAGGGAAGCTTGCAGGCCCCTCTCAACCTCCAGGCCCCCTCCTTGGCACCAAAGATGCAGCTGCCCTCCCTGAGCTTGCTCTGGGGTGGCGGGGTCAAATCAGCGCGCTGTTGGACTCGGCCTGAGCTTCTCAGTGCAGCGCTAGGAGGCGGGGGAGGTGAGGGGTGGACAATTCCTGCCCCACAAGACCCCCACCAGGGAAGCCCGACCTACTGCCAAGGCCCCAGGCAACTTTAGCCCTGGGAAACCCCTGTAAATACCAGACCTTGGGAAAAACCTGACACGTCCAAGCCAAAAATCTTCACTCCATCTGCTGTCCACCAGGGGCCTCTGCTTCCCGCTGCAGTGGGTCTTGACTCCTAACCAGCTCCCAAAAAGGTTTCTGCACCTAGGGGAGCAGGCCTGTCTCGAGGGCCCAGGAGGGTCTGTGGGGCACGGGGCTGCACCCTGAAGTCCACGCCACCTGCTGCCTCCAGAAGGACTTGGTGCGTCCTCTCTTGTAGCAAATGTTGGGCCTGCCGGGGAGAGAGGGGCAGGCAGGGAAGGTGGGCTGTGACCGTGTCTGGGCCTGGGCTGGGGGTGCCCGAGGTTCTTTAGAGGCTGCCTCCTGCCGCATTCTGCCACAAAACCACTTTCCTTTTCTACGCCTTTGCCTCGTCTCTGCCGTGTCCCGGCCCCTACTCCTCCGCCTTAGAGGAGCTGGTGCCCAAGCGGCTGCTCAACACCACCGTTGGGGCTGGCCCTGCCCTGAGGTGGGGGAGCTGCAGCCCGGGCCCCAGACTCTGTAACATCACACGACACGTGCGCCACACTAATAAAACTTCAAGACTCACCCCCGGCCCCTCAGGTGGAAATGCGCTGGGCAGCAGCACAGGCGTGGTGAGGCCCAGTCAGCAGGGCGCCTGGTGTGGCCGGGGGGGGGGCGGGGACCCGGCTGGGGGAGACGCATGTGCATGTTCCCCCCCCACCCCGCCTTTTCTTTCCAGCATCAGGACAGGGACAGGAGCACTCAGCCCTGCAGTGGTGGCCTGACCCCAGCTGTCAACCAAGGGGGGAGGCTTTTCTCTGGGGATCTCCTGAAGACCAGGGGCGGCAAGGCCCTCCCCCCTTAGGCTCACCTTTCCCGCCCCCTGGAGCAGGGCGGTGCCATGAGCGAGTGGTCCCTTGGGGGCCGCCCGCAGTGGCCCTGGCCACTGTCCCTCACAGGGCTCCCGCCCTCAGGGGCAGGTTGGAGAGGCAGGTGGAGTCTGCACCGTCTGCCCTCCTCTCGGCCTCCAAGCTCCAGGTCTGGGCCACAGCTTGCACCGACCCGGCCACAAAGTTGACTTTTTATACAAGAAACTGAAACCCACCTGGTGAGGAAGGAATATGCTCGCCCCTGGAGAGTAACAGCGGTGATGACAAACAAGGTGCTGGCACCCACGGGCGCAGGCTCTGGGAGCTGTCAGGGCATAATTTGCATGCTAAATACAATATTTTTAGCACCAAACTTTGGAGCACTTAACTTGCCTTGAGCACTTAATTATGGACTTTGATCTTCTCCCTGAACCTGAATGTAGTGCTCAGTCCCACAGAGGTTCCTGTCCCCAGGAGCACCCCGATTCCAGAGGCGGGCAAGCCTGCCCCAGTCTAGCTCTGGGGGAGGGGGGACATCCCTCACCCAGTGACCACCGCCTGAGGGGCTGTAAGACCTCCCAGGGGACGAGAGTCAGGACTGCGGGTCACACCCGTTCTGCTGGACTGGAACCCGGCCAGGGGCCAGGGCCGAGGCCACTCGAGTTTTTGTCATCGCTCCGAGTTCCCACACTTGATAAAGGGAAGGAGGGAGGGGAGAGAGCGGGAAAGCAGCGACCCTGGAGCAGCTTGAGAAGCGCTGACAGGGAGAAGAGGGGAAGAGGGCAGGCAGGGGCGGGAGGCGGGGCAGGGAATGTTGCCCACAGCTGTCACCAGGCTTCACATCTTTCTGCAGACAGCAGATTGACAGCTAGAGTGGGAAGGGGGAGGGCTGGGCTCCGCCCCCTCCCCCCTCCATACTTGGGGGCAAAGGAATGGGAGGTGTGGGGCCCAGGAGTGAGGCAGAGGGGTGGCCCGGCCCTGGCTGAGGCCCCTGCCTTGAAAGGCTCAGCAGGCTGGTGACTTGCTGACCTTTCTCCAGAGCCGCTTTCAGCCGAGGATATTCCGCTCCTCTCCAGCAGATGGCGCAGCTCGCCCCTCCCCCGCAGGCCGCCTCGGAGCGCCCTGGGCGGCCTTAGGTCCCCTCAGTGCCCCCATGACAGCAAGTTCTGGGCTCCAGGGGTGTCCCAGCTGACCCGGGCTGTGGAGGTGTCCTGGGAAGTGAGGGACGCACGATGGCTCCGTTCCTCCCTCCACCCGCAGCTATTGTCTCATGCACATTTGTGGGGCGGCTCTTGGGCCCCGTGTCCTGAGAAGGTGCTGGGAATGACAGCAGGTGGCCATGACTCTGCCTTCTCAGCATTAGTCCCACAATCACGGCAGCTGTGAAGGCATCCTGACCTCCAGGACACTGCCCAGGGCACCAGGTGGCAGTGGTGTGGGCAGAGCCTGCACGCACCACAGGGGTCAGGCAGGGCCCTGGGGCTGGTGGGCTCAGAACAGGGCCAGTGACCGGAACCAGCACCCAGGGCAGTGGCTGGCCCAGGGGGGCATATTTTTGGTCTCTCCACCCAGCTGGGGTCACTGCACATACTGTTCTGTCCCCAGGCACCGAGCGACCCAGGCCTGTTCCCACCGCCTCCCTGCCCTCTGGACCCCAGGGCCAGCCAGAGTCCATGGCATTAGATCCCGTCCATGTACCTGTGATCTCGTGCTCTGCTTGTAACCCTTGAGGGGCCATGACGCCCATCATGGAGGAGCCTCGTCCAGGGCGGTGGGTGGCAGGGCGGCTCTTTGCCCAGGTCTTCTAACATCCGGAGGGTCCACTCCGCCCGCTTCCCTGCCGGCCCTGAGTGCAGGGGAAGGAGGGCAGGTGAGAGGAGAACCACAGGGGCACACGCCCAGGATGCTGCCGCGGGGACTGCGACTTCTCTGAGAGCCGGAGTGGGGTGGGCAGACGGCAGGGGCCCAGCAGTGGCACGGGAGTTGGCAGGGGGGAGGGGGCAAGGGTGGGAGGCAGGCCTGGGCATCCATGTGCCTGCCTGTCCCCTCCTGCTAATCAGGTGCCCTCTCATACACAAGTTCTGGGGTGTGAGGAAGCAGGGGCTGGTGGTTAGCGAGCACACCATCTTTGGGGGGAGACACCCACCCTGCCTAGTGGGGAGACGGGTCTGGAAAGAACAGCTCTCCCACCCCAGCTCTGTACGTGGGCACGGAAGGGCAGAATGCTGCCCTGGAGGCTCTGAAGACGTGTTATGCCTCTAGGCAAAGCCATAGCAGTGCCTGCTCCACGGGGCGCCTTCACCTGTCTGAGGCAGAGCGGGGTCAGGCATCAGCGGGGCCAGCCCTCTCCTGGTGGACGGAGACGCGGCCAACTGGCCTTGCTGACGCTGGCCCACTGGCTCTGGGTGACCAGGAGGACCAGTCTGGACAGTCCTCTCAGCACCGTCCAGGAGTGGGGCTGCCCTACAGCTGAGCTGACGGCACCATAGGTCAGTCACACCAAGTCACAGCTCACACCAACGCCATCTCCCACCCGAGGGCAGCAATGGAAAACAGCTGCTCCACAAACAGCCTTGCAAATGCCTCTGAGCACAAAAGGGCTGCTTGTGCCCTGTTCCAGGAGAACATCACTCTGATTTAGGAGAAACTGCAGGAACCGCATGTGCTGAGAACTTACTGCTGTGCCTCTGCCCCAGTCATCTGATTTAGTAATTACAGAGCAGTGAGAGAAGCAAGACCACCCTTAGCGGATGCAACCAGAGCTGAGGAAGTGGCAACCCAAGGTCACACGTGGGTAGACGCACAGCTGGGGCTCGCAGCCTGCTGGGCCTGGCTTCTAGTCCAGTCTCGCCACCACCCAGCAGGTCCCACTGGAGGGCCTGCTCTAGTGACCGAGGGCCCAGAGGCCTCTCCAACTACCATGGGCGAGGAGGGGACTTGCAGAAGGGGAAGGTGTTCTACTCGGGCCTTTGGAGTTTAGGCGTTCTGCAGGCCGACAGGGGGGCCAGTAGGAAGTCGGGGAAGCTTGTCCTCTTTCACCCCACCTGCCTCCAAAGAGGGCCTGAAAGTCAAGTAGAGACCCTCCCGTTGAAACCATCAGGGGTTTCACTAAAATCCAAGCATAACCACCCACGGGTGTCTCTTGCAGGGTTCTAAGGTGTGGGCTTGTGTGTCTGCCGGCAAGGGGTGCCTGAAAAAGGAAGATGGTACTGGTAGACAATGAGGGGCCACGTTGGCCAGAGCGGGCCTGTGACTGGGCCGTGAGTGAGGGGAGGAGGAGTGGAGGAGGCAGGCTCTTGGGCTCCCAGCCTCGGAGCTGGGGTCATCTGAGTTGCAGCGGCTCCTAGCGACACACCTGTCTACCTTCCCATGGGACCCTACCTTTCCCAGGAAAATGTGTTCTTTCTTTGAGGTCTTTCCTCAAACCAGGGCCTGTGGTCGACACCTGACCCGCCTCCTGACGGTGCCGAGCTCACCTGGCCAGGAGCGTGGAGCCCCACATCTTGCTCTCTGAATCCTGAAGAATCCTAAGCTCAGAGACGCTGACTTCAGGGCACAAGGAGGAGCAAACAGCTCTGTGCTCCGCCCCTTCCTTCTTCTGATTCTGGAACCTTCAGGAAAGATGAAACTCTCAGGGGTGCTTTTACAAGTCTCGCCTAGGCCCAGCCTCCAGGCAGCCTGCTCAGGCTGGGTGGTAGGCCGGCTGCTGGGTGTCCCCCGGGGAACTCAGGAGTGCACGCACCCAAACCCGTGGGGGAAAAAGAGCCTTCCCTGGGGGCCACTAGGTGACTCCGGGGGAAGCCACAGACCGCCCCCTGGTGGCTGTTCTCAGCTCTGCTCCCCGGCTGACACCAGGTGCTCCATGGAGTCCCAGGTAGGACCAGAATTTCAAGTGCCCTGCCGCGCCTTTACCCTGGAGGCTCTAAGTCCAGGCTCGGCTCCTCACGGCTGCGGGGCTCTTCGTGGTGGCTGTGGACTGTGGCTTGGTGGGGAATGTCCGAGGCCCCGGACGCTGGCTGGACAGAGGCCACAGGATGGGACACGCACAGCTGCCACCTCTGGGAAAAGGGACTCACGCCCTCCCCGGTCAGCACGGTACCCAGAGCAGCAGCATCCCCAGCCTGGCCCTGCCCTCCCGCACTGACTTGGGGGTGCTGACCGGTGGCCTGTGACCAGCCCAGGGGCAGGGACTGATGAGCAGCTGGAGCAGACAACTGCAAAATGCCCTTGAGTCGAGGGGCTGCTCCACTGTGGAGAGGAGGCCCCATCCTGCCTCTCCCCCCTGAAGGGGCCCCTTAGCTAGAGGGGAAGGCAAAGCCGGGGTTGCCGAACCAGGGCCCCGTCGTGCAGTCACTGTGCGTAGCCCCAGCCCTGCCCCATAACCGGCAGGACAGACCAGCGGATGGCAGCTGGGGCACCGTCACAGGAAGCCTTCGAGGCGCAGCTGAGGAGGAAAGACCTTGCTCTGGGGGCTCCCGCCCTCCGACCACCTACCCCTACCCACCTGCCTCCACCTCCGCCCAGCCAGTGAACTCTCCCATGAGCCGCACCCCACGCTCACTGCCCCGGTACACAGCTTGGGCCAGTCACTCCGTGTCTGGAGGGGCGGCTGGGAGTTCTGGTCATTGACTCTAAGGTTTAAACCTGGCCATCCCGCTGGACAACAGGAGGAGGGTGGGGAGACAGCAAAGAGCGTCCCATCCAGGTGCGCCTGTGGCCAGTGGGTGTTCCCTTCCTTCAGCACCCCCGCCCCCCGGACTGGACGGGAGGCCCAGCTCTCGGGGTCAGGGCCACCAGGAGGGGGCAGTTTGTGGTCCAGGACTCGCAGAGTGGGGAGGAATTCCCTCCAAACTGTCAGCCTTTAGGCGAAGCGCAGGTGGCGCTCAGGTCCCTTCTGGTCAGGGGCCACGTGGCAGGCCAGCGCAGGGTAGGGGTGGTGGGTAGTAAAGGGGAGCGCCCAGCCAGGCCTCCCTCACCCCCTTGGGGGACGCCTGGGATGGATGACCCCTGTGAACTCATGGGCAAATGGCAGAGGTCTTGGGGAGAAGGGGAACTGGCCCGAGTCCAGGTGCAGGGGAGGCAGCCAGGGCCATGTGACCGGTGGGGCTCCCCAGCGCCAGCCTCAGAAGCGCCCCCCAACTCTATCACCCAGATTCCTGATGCTCTCAAGGTCCAAGGGGCATGTGGGGAGTGCCGGTGGGAAAGTACCTGCCCAAAGCCCAGCTTCACGTCCACCGACCCTCTTCCTCGGGTGAGGAGACCCAGCGTCTACATTCCGTCTGGGTTCCAGACTCGGCACCGTCCGAAATGGCCGCTGAAGTGTCCTTGCCCTCGAGGAATGCGACAATGCTCTGCCTGTGGCTCCGGAGGGCCAGCTGCAGTGGGGTGCAGCCCACCCCGTCCTGGCGCTCAGCTGGGCACCAGCTTTGACCAGCATTTTGAGGATGGCCATGTTTCCCTTGAGGGCAGCCAGGTGGGCAGGTGTCCAGCCCACCTTCTTGCGGGCGTGGACATCCGCATGGTGCTCTAGGAGGTTGATGACGCTCAGGAAGGCCCCCCTCTGGACTGCCAGGTGGAGGGGTGTCCAGTCTGACTTCGGTCCCATTGGGGTCAGCCCCGCTCTGCAGCAGTGCTGACACCGCCTCCTCCTCCCCATGGCGGGCAGCGAGGTGCAGGGGCGTCCAGGGGCCCCCAGGTCTGCGTGGCTGTCCACCAGCAGGTGGATGACCTCCAGGTGGCCCTTGTAAACCACGAGGTGCAGGGGCGTCCATCCCTGCCGCGTCGGCAGCTCCAGGCCGGCCCTGTACCTGAGCAGCATCTCACAGGTGAGGTACTTGCCCCTGGCGGCGGCCGTGTGCAGGGGGCTGTAGCCGCTCTGGTCAAGGGCGCTGGGGGCCGCCCCACTCTTGAACAGGTGCTGAATGGCTCTTACTGCCCCGCTCCACGGCCAGGTGCAGAGGGGTCCTCAGGTTCCTCTGCTTTGCATCCAGCTCAGCCCCCTGGCTTGTCAGCAACTTGACCAGGCTGACGTGGCCAAAATAGGCGGCCACGTGGAGGGGGGTCTTGCCCTCCGCCTCCTGCAGGTTGGGGTCAGCTTGACGAGAGACCAGAAGCCTCGCCACATCCTCAAAGTTGTTCTGTGCAGCCAGGTGGAGCGGGGTCCAGCCCTCATGCTCCCGGGCATCTACGTGGCCCCACAGTCCAGGAGCAAGCGGGCCGTCCGGTCATCCCCGCTCTGGGCGGCAAAGTGCGGCGGGGCCCAGCCGTCCTCGTCCGCCAGGTTGGTGTCGGCGCCACGCTCCAGGAGCAGGGCGCAGAGCTCGGGCTGCTGGTCCTGGGCTGCGATGAGCAGGGGCGTGTAGCCACAGGCCGTCTGGCAGTCCATGTCCACCTCGTGGGCCAGCAGCAGCCGCACCTGCTCCAGGCTGCCCTGCGCCACCAGGAAGTGCAGGGGCGTGACCTTCGCGTACAGGCACAGCTCCTCGTCGCTGGGCACCAGGCTCCTGGCGTCTGAGAGCTGCAGGAGGTGCTTCCAGCCCTCTGCCGAGTCTGCTGGGAGGAGGAAGGGGTTGGCAAGGGACCTCTGACTTGGCCAGCAGTCACCTCCGCCCTCTCTCTGCCTCCGGGACATGTCATCCAGAAACTCCCCGACTCCCAGGCACAGCCTTTCCTGCTCAGATCTCCTCACAGCCTCTGCAGTCCCAGGGACTGGCTGGCTCCTTCCTGGGAGGACAGGCTCTCCCGACGCCACTCTTCGCCTCGGGTGACCTTGGCCAGGTCACTGCCCCTGAGCCTCTGGAGAGGGCAAAGCTCTGCAGAGCTGTGCCTGGCACCCAGTAAGTAAATGCAAGTTGACAGAACTGGTGGTGGGGCTCTGTGTTCAGAACAACTCCAAGGCCTTGAAGCTCCAGTGCCCTAGCTCTACCCAGGGTGGTAACGGAATCAGAAGCTCCGAAGATTAAGTATATTAATGACTGAATCACCGCCAGGTCCCCCTGCAGAGATTCTGATTTAATTAGTCTAGGGTGGGGTCCAGGCCTGGGTATTTTTTCATGCCTTCCTCAGTAATCCCAACCTGCCGCTGGGCTAAAAGCCAGCTCCCTTCCAGGGAGGGGCCCCTCCTGGGCAGAGCACAGACAGAAAGAAAAGCTGCGTCAGGAGAGCCCCTCCTGGCCTGACAGCCAGGGCCGTGAAGGGGAAGGCCTTAGCCCCATGCGCGGCCGGTCTCTGTGCAGAGGCCTCAGGGTGGCCTGGCCAAAACCATCTCCTCTCTGCACCCCAGTGCTGCCCAACACCCCACCCGCCAGCAGGTCAGGTCGGATGAGAACCTGAAAAGCAGGGTCTCTTCTTGGGGTCCTGGTCCCAGCAGCGCCTCATCAGGTCTACCATCTGCTGGGTCTCGTCAGGCCACTGGCTTGTCATGGACTGCAGGGGTGTGACCTTCGCGTATGCCTGCGGCCACGCGGACAATGATGGTCATCATGCTGATACCTGCGAAAGGAAGCCAGCCGTGATGGCACTGGGAGGGGGCTCTGAGGAGCCCAGGAGGGAGGTGCCCTGCAGGGCCCAGCGGGCCAGTGGATCAAGTGACCAGACTGCAGAACGGCTAGAGGCTTTCGTGTGAGCAGCAGTCTCTGGCCCGGCTCGGCCACCTCCCAGGCCAGGCCCACCATGGCCCCCCACTGCGGCTCTGCGGTGCCCAGGCGGCGGGACAGGCAAGCAGGCCCAGCCACGGCTCTGCCCTTCAACATGGGGGGCATCCGGGTTCCATCTGGCACTGGGGGAGGGCGAGGCAGGAAAGAGCACTGCAGAAGCAAAGGAACCAGAAGAGAGGCCTGGCCCGCCCTTCCCCTATGTGAGTGCTAAGAAGTGGGGAAAGGCTGGGCCGGGAGCATAGGAACCCCTGAAGAGAAGATGGCTCCCCAACACAAACCTGCCCCTTCCTCTGACCCCAAGCACATTCAGCCCCCCACGGCCCCACCAGGACCCCATCGAAGCTGCAGACAGGAGGAGTACTCAGTGACCACCCCAGCACGGGGGTTCTACAATACCAAGTAAAATCCCATCCCAAGCCCGCCCCCTCCCCCCCCAGGCAGGTGCCAGACCTCACCCCCGCCCTTCCTGCCTTGTCCTAGAGGTCAGCGCCTGGCGGGTGGCGACAGCAGCTACCTGGGGGATGCGGCCCGGAGCGCAGCCGCTCTCACCTGTACACATCGTACTTGGGCCCTGGGGCCTTGTTGCTCTCCAGGAACATCTTGGGGGGGATGTAGCTGAGGGTGCCCTGCAGAGCCGAACTCTCAATATACTGCCTTCGGGTAGACTGCTCCATCCACTTGGACAGGCCGAAGTCAGAGATCTGAGGAGGGCGAGAGTGCCAAGGAGTCCTGCCCCAGGAAGCCAGCAGGTGGCACGCCCCTCTCCGCCCGTCCAGGCAGCTGGCAGGTGAGCGCTCCGGCTCCAGCGCTCAGGGCTGGGACATTTGGAAAGTTACTTTTCCTCTCAGAGCCTCAATGTCCTCACCTGTAAGTGGTGCCATCACGAGTATTAAATGGGGGTAACATGCGTAAAGCCCAGAGAACGGCCCTGACACCCAGTCACGGCAGGTGTGGCCATGTGCTGGAGAGGCTACGGGTTAACGCAGCCGTCTCGCTGTGCTTCCGTTCACGTCACCTCCGCGGGCGCCCGTGACGGAGCCTCGTGTGCTGAACTCTGCTTCCAGCCATCGACCCAGTTACGCACCAACCACCTGTTTCCCGAGTGCTTTCGGCCAGGTCCTGAGGACCAGGCACCAGATCAGAAAGGGGAGGCTTCTCCCCCATTACCTTTCTAAGCACTTACTCAAGTGGGGGCGTGCGGTCATCAGTGAGATAATTTCACAAGTGACAAGGGTTAGTAATATGAAGAGGCAGAGGGTATCTAACGTAGGCCTGTTGGAGTGGGTCAGGGAAGATCTCTAGGAGGTGATGGTCCAGTCAAAGTTTGGAGATGAGTAGGCCTCTGCGAGCTACGGAATACTCTTTCTGGGAACAGACTGTGCCAGGGTCCTGTGACCGTTTAGAAACTGAAAAGAGTGACTGTCGTGACCTTTCTTCGAGACTGCCTCATTCACACGCGTCTCTTCCCTCCGTCGGGAGGGGTGGGGATTGGTCTACCAACACAAGAGACGGGAGGCTGGCCACAAGAGGGTTACCACAGGCACGTGTTGCTGTTTTAAGGGTGACTCCTGTCCTTACTAGGTGTCCATAAAAGGAGCTAGCCAACACTGTTGACAGGCCCGTCAGGCAGGGAGATGACCCGCCTCACCTGGAGTGAAGGGGGACATGAGGTGGCCAGGGCCCTCACCTTGACGTGCACATTGCTGTCCAGCAGAACGTTGCCGGGCTTGAGGTCCAGGTGGAGCAGGGGTGGCTTAATGCTATGGAGGAAGTTCATGGCCAGGCTGGTCTCGTGGATGAACTTGAGCTGCCAGCAGAGGCTGCAGGCAGGCAGCAGCTTCTCCAGGGAGCCATTGGCCATGAACTCCATCACAATGCCCAGGGGCTGCTTGCACACCCCATAGATGGACACGATAGCTGAAACTTGATCTTCTCCATTTTGGCTGCTTCTTCGATGAGGCAGTTCACATCAGAGCTATGGAACGGGGGTGGGGGTGGGGGACACCCATTAAGAGCTAGCACAGCTAGCAGAGCACATGAACAAGACTCAATGCCAGGTCGTGTGTGGGGGCTGGGGGGTGGGGGGTGCCCAGGGAAGCCTCATGAACTTGCAAGGTGGTGGAGTAGAGGAAGAGAGACTTGAAAGGCCCAGATTGGGTCCAGCAACCAGCAGCCACAGACAGGTCTTGAGGTCAGGAACAAGTCCATCCTACAGAGGTGCGTGTTTGCGACTGTACAGTGGGAACAAGTGTCCTTGCCGAGTCCCCTCACAGCCAGGCTTTTGGAGGCATTTGCTGTGCCTGCTGCCCCTCTCCTTTCCTCGCCTCCCACCACCCGCTTCCGATCTCAGTACTTCCTGCTTCCGCCTGGCTTCCGATCTCAATACTTGGCTGAACAGCTATTGCCAAGGTCCCTCATGACCCTTGTGGGACTACAGGCCTCCGAGTAATTTTCAATTCTTGCTTCATGATTCAAATCCCTCAGTTTTTCCCCTTCAAATATTCACTTACATCAGCTGTACAATAATGTTCTCCTGAATTCTCCTGTCTGGCCACTTCCTGTTTCCTGTATAGACTCCTAGTCTGTTGCTTCATCACTACCTTGGTCCAGGCCCACTTTCTCCCACGTTGGTGCCTAAGGCTGGATGCCTAAATGTCCCCTAACATCCACCTATCCCAGGGAACGGGGCCTCTAACCTTCTAGTCCTCATATCTGGACACCAGCCTTACATTTCCTCTCCCACAACCAGGTCCTTAGCACCTACTGTCAGCTCTACCTTCAAAATCTATTAAGGACCAAGCGTTCTCACCACCTCAGCTCACTGGATCTCTCGGCCCAGGCCTGCTGACTAGCCTCTCTGCTGCTGCTTCTCCCCTCCACCATCAATTCTCTACTGAAAACGCAGGGTTACTTAAAAAGTATCATGGAGCAGATCACTGCTCAGCTGCTGCTGACTCTGGGTCACAGTTCCAGTCAACATTCTTAGAATGGCCTTCAGAGTCCCAGATGCTTTGCCTCTGGGCACAGCTTCTGGATCTTGACTACCTGTCACTCCCTTCCTCGTTCAGCTCCTGCCAACAGGCCTCTTGCTGGTTCTCCACCCAGTCAAGAATGTTCCCACCTCTGGACCTTTGCACCTGCTGCCTTCTCTGCCTAGAATGCGCCTCCTGAAGAGAGCTATGTGGCTTGTTCCTTTTCGGCTTCAACTCTCTACTCAAAAGGCACCTAGTTAGTAAGGCTTGTGGGTGTCTGTAAAATTGCACAACTCTGGCAGCTCTCACCCTCCCATGCAGATGGTGCACAGATTCATATTCCTAGAGCATAGCATCTTTCCTGGAAGATCACATCACTCTTCTTTTTGTCAAGATAAAATATGGATGTATAGGTAAACGTATTCTGTCTTCCTCCATTAGATTCTAAACTCCACGAGGGCAGGACCTTTGTTTTGTTCACTTAGTGCTTAGAGTAACCGAATGTCATCTGGGTCAACCATCTTCAATGACCACTTAGAACAAAAGCTCACATTATTAAACTTTGTTAGCTCACACCTTTTCATTCTGAAATCTACATGATAATTCTTCATGGCTATTTAAATTCACCTTAAAACATGTACAAAACTGCACTTGATGACTCCAACCTGGGTCTCTTTTCACAATGTGTCATTTATTTATTTGCAGTATCATCACTCAACAAATATTAAACACCCACTATGTGCCAGACACTGGGGATAAAGTGGGGAGCAAAAGAGACTTCACTCTCATGGATTACACAGTCTAATGGATCCTCTGCTCTCTTGGGCAAGTCAGACATCAAGTTAACCTTGACACTCCTCCCCACTGAGTTCTCGACAGCCAGTTTACCCCTTAAGTACTGCACCGTCCAGCCCTTTTCCTCTATCACCAACGCACCATCTCAGGCTCTGGTTATCTGGTTTGCATGGTGACAAGTTTCCAAAGTGGGCCAGTGGCCACTTTATCCTTCCAATCCATCTCCAATTACAAATCGGATGATGTCCTCTCTATCACCTCCGTCCAAGCTTGGGGGCAAACCCTTCAGTGGTTTTCCACCGCTTCTTCACGGCCTCGAATAGCCCCTTCCCCACCCCTTCCTTACTCTGCCTGCACTACCACAGGACCTTTGCACATGCTGCTGCCCCTTCCTGGAAAATTCTCCTTTTCACCATCTTACCGCAAATTCATCCTTCACATTTCAGATCAAGGTAACTTTCCCCAACGAAGTCATTTTCTGGTTAAATTCTATTAAAAGCTCTTCCAGAACCGTAAATCTTTCCTTTCTTGCATCTGTTGCATTAGCACTTTACATTTAAATGTAGGCTGATCCTGCGACTGTCTGTGTCTCTTCTGTGTCTCTCCAGGCTGTAAGTCCAGGAGAACATCCTCCACTGCTCTAGTCATTATCTCTCAGGCTCTGGCACACAGTAGGGAAGGCAATCAGCATTTGTCAAGTGGATGAATAAATGAGCTGGAAGGAGGATCTCCTCAAGTGACGCATACAAAGCTCCTATTCTAGAACTCCACACACAGTAGACACTAATTACCATTAAATCCCTTTGCCCTTCCCACCAGGGAAGGTGATGGGTGTCATCGTTAACTAACAGTGTAGACTTGGCAATGCTACCGGTTTGCTTTTAGTCTTCCCTTCAAAGCTGGTAAATAATTCGGGCAATTCCTAGAATCGCCTGACGCTACTGCAGAGCCAACAGGCAGACATGCAAGGAGGAAGGTGGGTGTCCGGCTGTCCCACCTTGTCCCTTTTTATGAGATGAAGTGGTGGTGGTGGGGAGATGTGGAAGTCAGAGAGGCCTGGCTTGACCTTGTGGGACTTGCATTCTGGCCAGAGCAGGACAAGCAGCGTCCAAGTCAGAGGCACGTGCCCCGACAGGTCCCTGACCCGGAGCCGGGGAGGCAGATACAGGTGTGAGCTGACCTCACACCCTAAGTGTCTCTTTTGGGGGTGCCAGGGGGCAAGTGCACAATACGAGCAAGCCAGGCTGATGAGCTGAGCCCCTCACAGCGCCCCCACAGTAGGTGGCAGAGAGGAGTGGAGGTGGGGGAAGAGGAAGCACAGAGGTGTCCTGCGGGGGGGGGGGGGGGGGCGCAGCGCCTCTGAAAGGCGCCGGGGAGGGGCCAGAGACCAAAACGGGCTGGAGAGGCGGTATCCTAGGCTTGGCCTTCCCGTGGAGCTGGGTGACAGCTGGTGAGTGACCTGGACTGGCTCTCAGGCTGCGAGGCCAGCGGGCTGTGTCCACAATACATAGGGCCGGGGCCAGATGTCCATGGGCGGACAGCCCCTCAGGGAGCAGGGACTGGAGGTGGCTGGGAGTCGTCACAAGCTGGCACACAGAAGCCAAGGCCCTTCCTAGGCTTCCTAGGTGCTGCGACACCTCCCCAACCCCCCACGCTTCCTCTTCCCAAAGCGGCACCCCTGAGAGAGACGCTTAGGGTGTGGAGTCTGCTCACGCTACATCCTACATCCTCCTTCCAAGAGGTCACGTGAACGCAGGTGCCTCTGACCGACAGAGTCCACACACAGGCCTGACGTGCCAACTGCACTTCAGTTAGTGACCCAACAGGCACGCAGGCCACAGGGTAGCTCAGAATCACCCAGGAAACAACCCTAGCCTCCATCTGGCCTCCTCTCCTCCCTCGGGAGTCCCCAGGATCCCGTTTCTCCTCTGATGGGAGAGGGGCGGGGCTCCAGGTACCTGGTGGAGTCAGGAAGGAGGCAGGGGGAGCATTTGATGGCATACTCAGTCCTCCAGCGCCTGTGCCGCGCCTGGAACACCTGGCTGAAGCCACCGCTGGCTACTCGGGACCAGTCGCCCTCGAAGTCCTCGCAGGTGAAGACTGTAAGGCTGCCCAGCCGCTGCTCCACGCCTGCGGCCATGGCCCTGAGGACGCACGCTGCAGGCTGGATCCGCCAGCCCAGCACTCTGAGCAGGCTGCGCCCAGGAGGCTGGAGCCAACCGACCCTTCCTGCGCTCAGTCCTGGGAGGGTGGAGAAGGGGAGGAAGCTTGATCTCCTGCAAGGAGGAGCCGACCCTGCCCTGCAGAGGCAGAGGCCGGGAGAAGCAGACCTGAGGTCAGAGGACCGGCAGCAGTGGGGCAGGACTCTCGACTAGGACACAGACTAGGACATATTCCCTCTGGCACACCCTGCGGAGACCTGTTCCCTGCCCCAGCACAGCATGCATCCTCAGCCCCACCTGGGGCTCCCCTAGCTCTCGTGCTAGAGCGCGCGTGGGACAGGTCTACACAAGTTGGAAGCAGGAGTCTGATCAGTCTCGTTCAGACCCAGCTCCTAGTGGACACTGATTTCTTTATTCATGGAACTCATGTGCACCGGGGTCATGAAAGGTCAGAGACTCACCGGGTGTCTCCGGTTGAATGTGGGGCCTGGAACCCACCCTTCCACAGCAAGAATGGAGTTAGACACCTCGTGGTGTGATTTTCTGATTTAGATCTGTTGACCTGGTTGGCTTAAAGCTTCCTTTGTTGTTGCTGAGTTTGGCTTATTTGTCAGCTGGTCTTGGGGGCCTCAGTAAAGGAAAGTCCCCAAGGAGAAGCAGCAGGAAAAGGGGTGAGAAGCTGGACACTTGCTTGAGGGGAGCTCCCCTCTTGCAACTGCTCTCTGCCCCAACCTCGGAGGGGCTGGCACCTGGTCTGGAGTCGACCATGGGGGAGTGGCTGTTTGCTGGGTACCAGAGACACCGTTTCAGGGAGCAGCTGAGCAAGCCCAGGGCCCTGCCTGCTGAGGAGTGGCGGCCTGGGACAGGGTAACAGGGGTGAATGGGCACCCACTGGTCCTGCCAAGAAATCTGGCCTGAGGGCTCTGAGCAGACTCAGAAGGCCAGGAGGGGAGCTAATGCAAAGGCAAACGTGACGCTGGACAGAGGAAGCCGTCAGTCAGGGACAGTGGCATCCCGGAGGGCAGGACAGCAGTCAGAGTGACACCCCTGCCTCTCTGACCTTCTGCTTCCTTCCTCTTTCCTGGCACCCACTCTGGATGATCCTTTATCTCAAGCTTGAGGACACAAGGTGAGAGGGAGAAAAGCCCCCTGGCATCCGCCTGGAGCGTCTCTGGGTCCTTCAAGCTGGGAGCTGTCCTCTCGCTTCAGAGAGACCGAGCAGGGACATGATAAATGCTTGACTAGCTGGGTCTCCCGGGGGTGTTCCAGGACAGGCACTGTACAGGGCGGGTTGCTGCTGCTCACTCGGCCAGGCAGGTGGGCTGAAGTCTTCAGGCAACCCCCGCCGTGGCCAGACTCCAGAGGCCACTGAGCAGAGCAGGAAGGCCTGGAGAGCCCAGCACCCAAGCCTTCTCCCAGACTCCCAGGGAAGAGCGCAGGCACCGGAGCAGATGTCAGGGGAAGCTGGGACACTTATTCTTCCCATACCAATTTACACACAGTCTCCAGGATGAGTCCTGACAAACGCAGATGACCTGCAGCTTTCAAAGGGACCAGTGGCCGCCACCAGTGGAGCCCCGGCTGTTTCAGATCTGTAGATACCTTACCTACTTGCTTACTTTGCAGACATCATCTTGCTTAACTCCAACACAATGGTGAGGTCAGCAGCTCTCTCTCTGCAGATGAGGGAACGGGGCTGGAAGACAGAAAGTAGGAAAGACTAGTAACTAGTCGTCAAGATTCAAGCCTAGGTCTTTGGTTTCTGGGACAAGAACTGGACACAGGGGAAGCAAGGGGTGGCCTTTTAGGGATTTGGGTGGAGTCATTCAAACAGAGTCACGGTTTCTGGAAGAAACTGGGCTGATGGAACCTTTATCTGGAGCAGGAGCCAGGCCTCAAGAACTCAGTGGGAAGGTCAACAGCCCTCTGGTTTTATGAAAGGTTCACTCAAGCTCAGATCTCAAACCGTCAACATGATCTGCCTAGGCTGCTGCAGGAAATGCCAGGCTTGGGGGCCTGAACCATTGAGAAGTGATAGCAAGGAACCAGAAGCTGCCACTGGCCATCGACAGAGACCATGGCTGGAGGCTGAGGCGCCTATGCTGTGGGAGGAACTCTCAGGGTCTCCAATAAAACTCCTTTGTGAGATTCTGCAGAGGTGGCGGGAGGAGGACAGGTAGCACCCAGGGTGTGTTCCTGTTGACCCACCTGCTGAAATAGCCAAGCTGTCGTCTTAGGCACCCACAAGGTTTCTGAAAGAATCTGGCAAAAGAGATTCATGCAAACAATTAGAAAGGCTGCAGTCATGTGATCGAGTTCCTACTGCTCCTTCTCTTTCTCTAAAGTAAGTGAGGATAAAAGTAGTAGCCTTTGGATAAGCTGTGGGAGAAGTTACAAAGTGAAGGGACCTTCCCGAGCGCCTCCCAGAGGAAAACACTTCTCTTGCTCCTGCTGATACGTGGGGTGGTGCTTAGGGATCTGGGGAAGAACAAGGTCAGCAACACGGGAGCTGCTGCTGCTTCCAGGGGCCTGACTGCGCAAGTCCCAGTCCCACCTGGCTGGGTAGTTCGCAGCAAGTGGGCAGAGAGTAGAAAGCCGGAGAGGAATAGTCTACCTTCAAGTGCATCCATGAACCGGAATGGCTATGAGAAGAACGGGCAGGAACGGATGAGGTAGGTATAGTCTTTCCATGACCCAAACCCACCAGAAGGGATAAGAAATGTGTTCTCGCCATAGGAATGCGCACAAGATGCTCTGAGCCCATCCCATTGACTCTGAACCATTCGTTTTGGTAGACTGGTAAATTTTCTGGACTTAGAATTATCAATGATTTTGTGTGTGATTGCTTTGAGGGAGCTTAAAATTTTTCAGCCAGCCACTCCCAGGCCAGTGAGCAGTTTGTGACACTCTGGAAGACGCTGAAATTCGACGCGAGTCTTTCCCCAAACCAGAATGACAAGCTCTTTGCACACAGGGAAGTTCCCCAATCTGTCTCCATCCCCCACCCTGCAAACATGTCACAGGAGGACCTGGGCAAGTCTTGGCAGCTTGCAACCGGGCAGCCTGTGCACTGAGGTGAGGGCAAGGCTGGCTAAGATGAAGGAATGTGCCCAGCAAAATGGGGAGGGAACGTCTGCCCAAGAAGCAAAACTCTCCGGAGACAAAGGGACTGAACGAGGCAGCAGGGGCTAATGCCGGAGCAGGTGCATCACTGGAACCTGCCTTCACTCATCTTTTCTCCTCCCCCTGCCAGCCCCTGGGCCTTGGTCACATTACTCAATATCTCTGAGTTTTCCCATCTGTTAACGGGATGAGAATATAGTCCCCATTTTTAAAGAGCATGAAGAAACCCCAAGGAGGGAGAGAAAAAGGTGGAAGATGATGGGTGGGAGCTAATGAGCTCCCTCTCAGGCTCAGCACTCTCCCAGGTTATTTGACAGATGAACTGGTGTCTGCTGATAAAACTATATAGAATTATACCCGAATAGCCAAATTCAAAAGTCACCCAGAGAAAGCCTCATTTGTAGAATCATCTCAGAGGCTCTCTCTGCTCAGCACCCATCCCTTGAGGCTCGTGGGAGGGCGTTCCAGGTGTTGAGGCAGATGTGGGTAGATGGGTGGGCTCAAAAAAAGCTGGGGAAGAAGGGCCAGGCATTGCTCTGCTGGGTTGCTTCTGCCTGGGCACAAGAGCTAGCTCCTGAATACTCCGGAAACGTTACCCTCCTCAGGCTGAGGTGGAACGTGGAAGGGAGCATGAGGAGGAACAGAGAAAACCGAGGATGGGTTTAAGAAAGCGTTTCTACGTTTGGCAGGTTACAGATTCTTTCCCCTAACACGGAACAGTGGTCTTCCCTGTGGGGAGCTTTTGATAGAAACTACCGTAAGTCCTAGGAGGTCAGAAGGTGAAGCCCCACGCTTAGCGGGCCCTGGGCCCTGGGCCCTGGGTTGGGCCCCTATGATGGTAAGAAGCGAATGTCCCAAGAATCCTGTCACCTCAGAAGAAACGCCAGGACCGTGCCAGGCTCGACTTTGTGAAGCTTGGAGCACAGCACTGGGCCCAAGAGGTCAAGGTCATTATCTTTTCTAGGACTTAAGGAGTTACACAGGGACTGAGAATTTAATTTCATGGTGGTCAGCAGAGAGACGTGAAGAAATTACCTGTGACTCCCTAAGGGAAAATACTCTGCAGATACCAACTGTGAGAAAGGTCAGGGTCCAGTGTTTGTCTGGGGAGAAGCCACCCGCCTCTGTCCTCCAAGCCTGTCCAGGAGGGTCGCAAGGCCGGAAGAGCGGGGGTTAGCAAAGTGCCTGAGCATGAGAAGCAGCTTCCCCAGGTTGTGCAACAGAAAGCTCTGGAAGCTTGCTAACGCTGCAGGAAAAAAAGTGACTTCTAAGCTATGACCGATTTCACTTTTTATATTTTGTTTGTATCTATTTTCCTTTGGGGACAAGAAATTGTTGAGCTACCTTGGACACACTAAAAGAAACCAGGGGACGAGTTTGCTTTTTAAAAAATCACCTTGTTTAGATGGTGGTCAAGCACACACTCCTAAAAGTCGAGACGAGAACCCTGGTGGTGCTGTGTCCTCAGCACTTGGCCCAGCGAGGGACTTGTGTAGTATCTGCAGGCTGACGGCGGATGGCTGGATGAGGTCCCCCCTGGTTGCAGGGACCCTCCCCTTCCCATAAATGTGCTCCTTTGACCCCCACCCTGGGCCAGGCTGCTGAGGCTCGCAGCAGCTAAGCACCTGCAAGGTGAGCACTGGTGATGCCCTGGACTCGTTCCTCAGGGAAGAGCCCCCCCCCCAGACTTCCAGCACCATCTCCTCCTCCACTCGGATGCCTTCTCATCGTTTATCCTGCTCTGTGCACCTTTTTATAAATTCAGCTTTCAAGCCAAGGGCTTTTCTGATGGATAAAGCAGAAATGGATGGAGAATCTTTAGGGACCAAAGCGGTAACACCTGCCATTAGTGAATCTTGCTTTACGCCTGCTGCATTTGCAGTGATCAGCCTGCCTTATCTCACTTAATCCAGTCCTCTGAGGCACATAGTTACTATTTCCATTTTTACAGACTCAAAGGAGCCAAGTAACTTGCCCGTGGTCATGCAGTTGGTAATTAGATACATCTGGATTTGTACCTGGCCTGCCTCTTGCCAAGGCACATGCTCTTAACGCTGAAACACGGCCAGAAGAGACTGGATCAAACCAAGTATGGGGTACTGGGCCTGGGGCTCACTGAGGTGCAGTGGTCATGGCTCGTAGATAGGAGCCAGGAGCACACGTCAACCGTCCTTTGCTACCCCAGGGAACTGGCTGAGCTGGCACTGGAAGCTGAGCTTTGACTAATATTCCATATACCAGGGCTGTGCCTGAGGCTTAAAGATATCTTTGGAAGCTCTGTCTATAGAAAGGTCTATTATCAGCTCCATCAAATTTGGCTTTTGGAGAAACTTCAGGATGGCTTAGTCACTGTGGAGAGTTTCTTTGTGTCTCTTTTCTTGGTTGGAAAGAAAGCAATGCGCCCGTGGGACTGTCAAAACCCTTTACCACCAGTAAGAGCAAAGCCATACCTGGGCAAGCTGTCCTTTAAATGACCGTGGCCAGGGCGCGGCTGTTTGGAATGGGAGGCCCTGGGCTCCAGGCACCTGCGGGAGGACAGCGGGATCTGGAAACAGTGCGCCCTGCTGTCACAGAGTGCCCCGCTCCCCTCAGCTGGGCTCCAGCCCCGAATGGGGAGCCCTGGGTGTGCTCAGAGACCCACCCTGCAGGCCTGGCACCTACAGACGTGCTGCCTGGCCGGGAACGACGAGTAGACCACAGCCAGCAGCTGGGTTCAGCACCTCATGTTAGCCACTGGGTGCGAGACAGGGGCGAGGCAGCCCAACAGCAAACTGCTGCCTCGGTGACAGAGTATGCAGGGGACGAGCATGTGGGTGAGGGTGGGGACAGCGGGGGATGCGTTCATGGTCATTTCTGATTTGAAAAAAACAAAACCTCACTGCTAAGTAAATGCATTTTGTCAGTTACCTCTGCCAGGTACTTCGTAGCATCCGAAACCCCAGAGCAGGGACTGAATTCCTGTTTTTTAGGGAGAAAAACAGGCTCAGAGAAATTGACTTTCCCTGATGCCACAGGAATGAAAAACCCAGGCCGGGGTCAAATTTCGACTCCTGCTTACTGGCTTGCGTACCTGGGTAAGCCCTTACTGTCTTTATGCCTTAGTTTCTTGTCCCATAAAGAGAAGTAATACCTAGGTCTGGGGGTCCCTGCGAGTTGCGTGCCGGCAGGCCCTTGGGGCACTTGGTACACAGCCGCGTATGGGGGAGCCTACTGCTGGGCACTTGGCTCCCGCAGGCCGCTCCTCCAGCCAGGAGGAATAGGAGCCTCTGCCGCGGGAAAGGGCTGTGTGAATTCCGAGTGCCTTCTTCACTGCCCATCATTCTCTCCTCTTACTGAGTCTTTAACTTCAGCACCCATAGGGGAATGAGACCTCTGAAAAAGTCAGGGAAGACCGACACCCCAGATTCTCCCAGGGAACTCACTCACTTCTCCACACCTCCAGGTCCTGTTTCAGCTGCTTGTACCAACACATCTGACCTGCCGCAGGTCTCAACATTTAACTTCAATCCTGCCTGCTGCTCCAGAACTGTCACTGTCACTCGGTCCGAAGGCACATGGCCACAGGCCTAGACACCCACTCACAACCGTCACCCAACAGCTGCTGTGGCTTCAGGATGGTGACAAAGCTCCACCTTGGCCACGCCCTGTTGGGGATGTTCAATTCTAACCTGTCTGTCAGTGAAGGCAGCAGACTGCTTTCCAGAATCCCCCGTGTCCCCAGGGTGGGGAAGACGGTGCTGGTTGCTCCTGGCATATGGAAACTCTTTAACAGGTACAGGAAGTCCTCAAGTGACAGCCTCTGAAAGCTCTTAGAAAATGCGATTTTACGTGACATAAAACCAATCTTTAGCTGATACAAACAAGAGCTAAGTTTCTAAGGCATATTTCTTGTCACAAGGACATTACCAAACTTTTGAATGAGGACCTCAAGCAGTTCTAGTATGGAACAATCATTTATATTCCTTCCTTCCTTCCTTCCTCCAGCTCACTTACTCCCTTTCAGGGTTGTGGGTGGCCGGAGTCTTCCTGGCAGCTCGGGGCTTTTAAAGGCAGGACAATTGAGACACACCCACGAGCCTGACAAGCACACCTTTGGGGTGGGGAGAGAAACTGGAGCCTTCAGAGAAAACGCAGGCTGACACGGAAGAACGCGATCGCTTCAGACAGAGGCCCTGGCCGTTACAGACTTTCTCTTATCAACCTTGTAAATAAACGACGCTGAGTAAAGCCACCTACCACCTTACGGGAGGAAGGGCTGTTGCTGTTGCTTTTTGCGTGCTGCCGGGAAGCCCTGCATGTGAGCCGGTGTCAGAGGGAACAGGTTAAGCAGACCGGCTACAGTGGAGATGAGGAACCCCAGGATGTAGAACTGTCCACCGGTGAGGCTGGGGGGGCCTTGGGTGCAGCCACAGCCTCCTCCAAAGCCGAGATGCTGCTTCACGTACCTTGGAACAGAGATAATGTCAAGTTGACAGTCCCTGCTTTTTCGGGGCGAGATTACTTGCATATTAACCATTTCCGAATGCCAGGGGAGGGGAGCGCAGCCGCGAGAGGGAGGAGGGGCCTGAGACTCAGGTCAGAGGCAATGGACCTGCGGGTTATGTACACAGGCAGACGGTTCCATTTTTACAGCTCCACTGAATTCCCCCCGAACCGGCAGATTCTGCAACCTCTGGTTTTCTCCTTGTGCTGTTCAGCATCAGGACATCTCCCTTTCCAATTCCACGGGCTCTTGAGTGTGTGTGCATGGCAGGACTACGGGGCAGACGGCAGCCTCTCGACTGCAGCCACCTCTGGCGTGGCCCCGGAAATGGTGCTTGGCCCCGGCACAGCTGCGCCAGCCCCCCTTGAACACTCATCCCAAGTGAGGGTCCATTCATTTCCCCCCGGCCCCCACAGAGCCAATCACCCAGTTTGGCTTCAGGAACAAAGTTCTTCATTTGAGGCCCACCTCACCTCAAGAACAGTGTCTTTGGGGGTAAAGAGTAAAATCCCCAGAAGGGGATTTCTTATCCTTCTGCTCCAGAAAATGTCCAGCTCCACTTCTGTAAACGACATGTACTTTGCTCTTTTCCAGCCCCTCCAATTTAACCCAACTGACATCACCGTCAAGCCCTCAACCTCAAGGTGGAACCTGGTAATCACTATATTTGTGCAATACTTGCTAATTCCCCAAAAAGCTAAAGAGCTCTTTTGAAAGCGAAGCCAAAACCTTCATCTTCACAGCAACGTAGAAGACCGACCGGACAGGCATCGCTGTAGCTTTCCCAGAAGCAGCAGTCAAAGCACAGAGTGGCTGAGAGACTTGCTTAAAGTGACACAGCGGCCAGGCGCGGGTCCCCAAAGTCCTAGCAGCAAGCTCGGTGCAGGAAGCTGCCTCCACCGCTGGTGCCGCTGAACTTGGCCCTGGCACCCAACACTGGACAACGGACACCAAGATGCCCCCTTGGAAAACCTGATGGTTCTAGAATGCTGCTGGGGGAAAAAAAAAAAAAAACATTAACAGGGCAGGATGGTGTTAGTTTTCGTGAGTCTGGTTCCCCTCTCGAGCTCTTGTTCCCAGGTGCGGCTGGGAGTGCAGTCTTTGTCTGCTGGCCTCCTGACTCGGGGGGCCAGAGAGGGGGGCGCATGCTGAGCAGGCCAGCGCAGGGCCCCAGCGGCTGGCCTGCTGCCACCCCCCTCCTCTCCCCTCACCAGTGGAAACCAACAGGGCAGATGCCCTCGGAAATCAATGCAAATCAGGCCGACGTTTTAAAAGTCTTTATTGATATAGGAAAAACCCACAGCATGCAGTGGTGTGTTGTGAAAATACACACAGACCCCACGCCTCTCAGGAATCACTGATGTACTTCGTGGTCGAGCTGAGGATTTCTAACCCATGAAGCTGTCTCAGCTGATCAGCAAACCTGCCATAATCAGAAAACAAACCCCGGGACATAAATGTGCAGGCCCAGCGCCTGACACGCAAAGTAAACCTCACATGGAAGGTGGGAAGCTGGAAAGGCAGGGCAGTAGACAGAGGGCCTAAAGACCCCAAGGAGAAGGCCCCCGGGGGGCCCCGAAACATGCAATCACTCTTGCTGTACGTGCAGATGTGACCGGCTGAGTGACGGGCCTGGCTTGGCTGCCACTTTGAACTTGCCCTAGATACTGGGTCCAACCCTTCTGCTGGGACAATCAGACAGAACTGGGAAGGGCGCAGGCCCGTGCTCATCCACAGAAGAGCAGGTGTGCAGCTCTAATGAGGAGCTACAGGCCAGAGCTAGCCTTGCCACAAAGGAGCCAGGGCTCGGTCGCTCAGACCCAGGAGGCAGGGTGTCCACGCAGCACGCCAGGACCGGAGCAAGGGAAGCCTGAGCTAGAAGAGATGGCTGCAGTTACAGCCCCAGCTGGGTGAGTGGCTGAGACAGCTCACATCTCTCTTCAGTTCTTTGCAGCAAGACAGTGCCCTCGCTGGGCACTGCCTCAGATGCTTACGAGGCCACCGACAAACAATGGCAGGGAGGTCTAAGTGTTTCAGGAATCATGGGAGGGAGAGAAAGGGAGTGGAAAGTGTGAGAGAGCCTTAGGGAAGGAAGGACAGAGGAAAAGAGGGAGCAGGAAGGAGATGTGATTATGGTAATAAATGTTCAGAGAAACCTCTGTCACATCCACCGACTCTGTCTAAGGTCAGAGGGAGAGAGACGCTAGTTTCCCCAAAGCGGGCTTCTCTCCGCAAAGCAGCTACTGGGACCCAAGCCCGTCTGCACAGAGGCCCCAGGCCCGCCCGGAAGCGGCGTTTCAGCTGCGGCTCAGCTGGCCCCGCCACCCCATACCTGGGCTCCACCGTGCACAGCTTCCCCAGGGCGATGCCCGCGTTGAGCTGCACGGCTGTCTTCTGCGAGTCGTTGCCTGCCTGCTTCAACAAGAGCTGCACGATGTCCGTCTTCAGAAGGGCGGCCGAGGCCTGCGGCACCTCCATGCAGTTCCCCAGACACAGGGCGGCGTTGCCCACCAGGATCTCGTCCTCCGAGCTGAGCAGCTTCATCAGGATGCTGAACTCTACAAAGGAGGAGGAGAGGCATGGCCCCTGCCAGCCCCTCACAGGCCACAGACAGGGGCCAGTGGAGGGCAGGCCTTCCCGGAAACTCTGAGGAAGGGCGTGCAGTCACTCATTCACCAAATCCAAGAAGCTCAGCCGCTGGCTATGTCTGAGGTAGCCTGGAGCAGAGCCTGGCACCGCACAGGGTGGCGTGGCTGAAGGCCATGTGCAGGCAGGTCTTCTCCGAAGGGCTGTTCTGACCTCTGCGCTCCATCTGCCCACCTTTTGTGGGAGGCCCAGCTGTAACCTGGACAGAGGGCGAGTGACAGGGCCCAGAGGGCTCCTACTTCTGCTGAGGGGTCCTGCTCAGGGCACATCCCTGAGTGCCCCAGATGAGGCGTTCGAGAGAGCACTCGCAGGTGCCCTGGCTGGGAACCCTGCTACCCAAGACTGAAGCGAGGTGCGGACTCTAACTGCCCGTGTTCACTGAAGGGCGCAGTAGTTTTTCCCTCGTGAAGGAAGAGGATCAGGGTTAGGATGGTGTAGGAATGCCTTACAAACAGTTTCATTTGGTGAGAGAAAGCCCCGCCTCCCCTGCCCTGCCTGAGCTGTTCCAAGGTCAGGTCTCCGGTGCAGGCGCCTACAGGGGTTCAGCTCAAGGCGAACTGATGCCTTCAGAACCACAGTGAGCTGCCATCTTCTTCTGCTGGCACAGGGTAGCTCCGGGATGGGTTAACAGCATCGTGCTAACTCTACCTTATCTCCTCACCCAGAGTGCCCTGCAAGCTTCAAGATGGACGTATCCTCTGGGAGGTGGGCTCCACTTAACGAAACCATCACTCACTTTTATCCAGTCTTATCACTTCTTCCCGTGCTTCGTGAAAACTGCTCGTGCAGACAGCCAGTGTCTTCATGGCATAACGCGACGCGGTCTGGCCACCTGCCTAGATTTCAGAGTGAATTAGGTAAAGTCAATCCTGTTTATGGCCAGAAACCACAGTAAGCAGCTGATTGTGGTGGTTCAGATGGGGGCTCCCTGAACCTCTCACAGAACAAGTGTGCGCTGTCAGGCTTTGCTGCTACCTGGAGAGCGTTACTCAGTGTCCAGGACAGTGCACGGCCTGCCAGAAATGTCGGCAGGCCACGTACACCCGAGTCATTACCTGTGCAAGGCTCGAGGCGGGAGTGGAAAGAGAACTGACGAGGGGCCCCCTCTGTGAGAATGAGGGGACTCACTGAGGCTGACAGGCCTGCACGGAGAACAAGAGCCCAGAGCATCGTAAGAGGTGCTACCTATCAAATCAGAACACTTAGAAAGCGCCCAACACGGGTCTTTAAGCTGCATGCGCGCGTGCCCGTGCGCCTGGTTGGCACAGCGCCCGCGTGGGCATGCGAGGGGCGGGCCCCAGCAGGTGGAGCAGAGTCCTCACCCACGTGGCAGCTCACTCAGACGCAGTCACTGCCCCGCCCCAGCAGCTCCTCGTGGAGCAGCTCCCTGGCCCCTCAGCCTGGGGCTCTATGCATAACTGTCCCTGGGGCCGCCGTGCTGTCATGGCCAACTGCCTCGCTCGGCGTACGTCACAGCAGGATGCAGATGCAGCCCAAGCCAGGCGCCTCTCCGGCTCGGGCGAATGGAGTGGGCTGGTGCCCCGGTGCCCCACTTACACTCAGGGGAAGCTCCCAGACCCTTTGTCCGTGTGGAGTTACTGCCAATGTTCCCACTGTGCGTGGGAAACCCCAAAGAAGGGCCTGGGACACCTTGCTGAAGGCCGCCTGGAGCAGCATCTTCAAGGACCGAGGCCACCCACTTTCAAGTGAGGCCTGAGTGGGAAGTGGGTTGTCTAGGTTTATCTGCTCAACAACGTGTGGACTGTCGTGCAGGCAGAAGACACTTCCAGGCAAGTTTAAAATCTAGCAGGGCTGAAACAGTAGCACGTTAACCGAACAAAACTGCTCTTAACCTGCTCCCCCAACAGTACATGGCACTCCCGGAGATTCCAGTACTTGTAATAAGAAATTACCTTCAGGAACTTAATCATTTTCTTCACCACTCCTGCTCTCACGGCCTCCTCAGTAATTTTCAGAGAGGAAGGAAGGGTGCGGCTCAGCACGCCAGCCGCTCTCTGAGCGAAGAAGAATGCACAGAGCGATTATATGTTCTTTTCAGAAATGCTGCTGACCCTTCAAAGGTTAGTTCAATGGGGCAAACAATCACTAGCACTGGAGCAAAACAGACACCTTGATTTTAAAATTACCTAATGGTCAAGGAAAAGAGAGCAAACACCGCTTTTTAATAAAGGTGCTTGGTAGGGGACGCCAACTGTGGGCCTCGGTGGACAGAGGCTCAGCTGACATCAGCTCACACTGACCAACCAGTTCAACACTGGGAAGAAGGCGGCCCTGGGCCCCCTGCGGTGCTGTCTGCAGCCTGGCCCCAACAGACTCTGACTTCCTAGGTTGGTCCTCCGGGTCTTTTAGCTTCTCCTTTATCTTTCCTGAGTCTCTGTCTTTTGTCCTACTTCCTAGGAGATTTCAGTTACTTTATTTTGCAGTTCCGATCTTGTTTTTAAAAACATTCTGAATTGCTACTGCTATGGCTATAATACAATCTTTAATCTTTCTGAAACAAATGAGTTATTTTCTTTCTTCTGTCTTCTATGTCATCTTTATTTCTTCTGGGTCAAATTTTCTCTTTACCTTGGCTTTTCCATTTATGTGTATAGCTTTTCTGAAATGCCTGGTGACCCTTAGCTGCCCAGTCACATTTCAGAATAAAGCAATCAACATGTGTTTGGATGTGCTGTGTCAACTGGCAGGTGGAGAGGGGCACTCCCAAATACTACAAAGAAAAGCTGTTTGTCTGGGCCTTCAACACCTTTAGAGGAAAAAAGCGATGGATCTAGGCCTGAGGGAGGATGCCTGGCAACCTGGGCAGGCCCCACCTCTCCCTTCTGCCCTCTCTCACATCTGTGTTCTCAAGTTTCCATCTTCTCCAGAGCAAATCTGCTCTTCTCCCAGAAGTGTCCCTCCATCTGCACCTAGGCTAAGGGTTCTACCGTCCTGCCTCACCAGTCACCATCCTTAGTTATTCCCTGGCTTCCAGAAACTGGTTAAAATTACTTGCCAATAGTGACCTCTTGCCTGTCCACTTTGTCACTGTTGGTTTCATTTTCCAACCCCTCCATCCTTGCCTTTGTTAATGTCTCGTATTAATGAGCTCTTCAGAGGGGAAGGGATAAACTTATGTGTTATCAAATTCCTGGTCTGCTTCCCAAAGATGCTGAGATGCTGCTCGGATGACACATTTCTGTTCAGGCCAGAGAGTGGTAAGAGGGCCCTGGCAAAGAATGGACACCCCCATGAAACTGCTGCTTCACTAGCCCCCAGCTATGATACAGGCAGAGCCTTGGAAACTCTGGCTGGGAGAGCCCTTGATGGGTAAGCTTGTGAAGTATAGGGCTAGCGTTAGGTCGAGCCCATGCACAGAAGCCCAAGGTTCGAGAACAGTGATATTTACTACTTTGGGGGTTATCATCTTTCCTGAGGATCTGGTAAGAGCTATAATTAACCTCCAATCCCCAGTGAAAAGAGACATGCTCTTTAGAATTTCCTATACAACTACAGGATTTCAGGACACTCAAAGGCCCATCCCACATCCTGGAAACTGGCCCAAACCCTTTGCCCTGTGACATCTGAACTGATTGCAAGGAAGCTCTGGGTATGTTAGCCACAAAAAGGATATGTTATACCTGCTTAAAACCTTTGCTATAACCCTGGTACCAAGGCCCTGTCTGTGGTCTCTAAGGGCTGGTTTCTCAGGCCTCCCCTGGATGTGACACACACTGTTTCCCTAGGTTTTAGGGTCCTGATCTAACAGGTGGAAAAGTTGAGATGATCACAAATGTGAGTGAAGGACACAGCCTAGAATGATAGCCCACAGCCTCCTGAATCGTATTAGTATCCTTTGCCTGATGACTATTTAAGTATAGGCCTTCCTCAGATTTCTTATCCAAATGTCAGCACCAGGATTATGAATGCAAACGCAGCATAAAGCTCTAATGGGGCTAAAGCCAGTATGCATCAACGACCCCCAGGATAACTGACTTCAAAATATGGATCTGAGTTTTTTTTTCCCAACTCTGGAAAAAAAGATTCTAACTCAAATCACTTGGCCTGTACAATTTGTACAGGGCAGCTTGAAATAGGGCAGATCTGACAGATTTCATTGTATAAACTGCGAGGGCTCAGACAGTACAGAAAAGGGATTCTTCATTCTGGTTCCCATACTCAACGGGGCCCACGGGTGGGCACTGCAGGGGTTACCAAGCCTCCTACAACTGTAGGCACATCTGGTATTCAGAGGCCGAGCAGCGCTGTCTGGAGGGTGTCTGCCCTGCGTGTAGGAGTCAGCAGATCCAAAGGCCTAGTGACTTTGAAAGGGTGAGATTCAACGCGACGAAACAAAAACAAAACAGAAGAACAAAGGACGTGTCCCTGGAGACACTTACTGTGAGGATTCCTCCATCCTGGCTGCTCAGTAGAGACAGACACCTCCTGCTCACCTCTGCGGCCCACGCCTACAACAGGGAGAGGAACAGAGGTGGGAGTCTTGGAATTCTCAGTGAAGCGTCTCCTGCAAACTCAGACAAAGGCACCGAGGCTTCCCTCTCATGCTGCCACTGCGCTCACACTGCCTGCACCCCACCTTCCTCTCTCGCTCTTCTTTCTTGCATCGGCCTTCCCTCACTATAGAACACCACCTTGAGAGCAGGGACAACTTTTGCCTTTGCAAGTCAGAGTCTAGCACCATGCCCAGCAGTTTTCTGAATGAATGCCTGAGTAACTCGTCTATCCCTCAGCGGAGCAAAGTGACAGAGTGCTTGTCAGCTGTCCCCCGGCTCACAGCCTGTTCAAGTTCATGTGCTTCTATTCTTTCGTGCCAGTGAGAAGAGCCCTGTGTCGCTGGTGCTGTTCCTGGTGAGGCGAGACAAACACCCTACCTCAGAGACGAAGGTGGACTGAAGACACAAGTTCATCATGAGTCCCAGGAGCGCGTATATGACCTCTCTGAACAGGTCCACATCCTCCTCACAGCGCACCTTGGGAAACAAAACAAGGGGACCAATACACTTACTTCCGTGTGGCTTTTCAGGGTCACCTCCTCCCGCTGGTAACAGTCTGCACACTACCCACGCTTCCTGAACTGTCATGTGGTGAACCTACCAGAGACCAGACCAGAGGCCAGATCCACGTGGCACTGTCAGTACAGGAGACTTGCAAGGGGCCCTGGTGCCTCTGCCTCATGGCTAGCATGGCTGGTCTTGTGTTTAAACTGGAGAGAAAGCTCCTCAAGCGGGTGGTCAAGCCAACACCATCAGAAAGTGCTTGAGCTTCTCCCGGGGGATGAGACTTGACCTGGAGGACTCTTTAAGGCCAGTCACCACTCACTAAATCTATGGTTATAGGAGGGGATCAGCCAGCTAGCAGGTCCAGCACCCTCAGAAACAGAATCTTTTGAAAATCCAGATTACTCAGAAGCCAATGCCCCCAAGCTGACTGACTAGAAAGGCTAAAGTACCATGAGCCCCAAGCAGGCATTTCCAAATTCTTCAGAGGTGGCCATCTGCTGTCTGGCGGCAGCCTTGGCACTGAGGTTTCCGACGACGGCAAGGCACTGGCAGAGCGCTGAGGACCTGGTCACCTTGGGGTCCCGCTTCTAAAAGCGAATCAAGAGGAAGCAGATCAGTAGAGAGCAGGTAAATGCGGCAAAAGTCACCTTGGTGACATCCCTCACCCAACCAAACGTCTGGGAACCAGAGTGTAACGTTGCCTGGGGGCCCCGGGGGGGGGGGTCACCATGCTGGCTACAGGATGGAGGCGCCCGGAGGGGCAGACCTGGAGAGCCCCATCCTGGACTAGGGAGGCCTAGGGCTCAGACTGGCAACGGCACACATCAGGTGGGTGAGCCCAGGCAGTTCCCACCCCTCTCTGGGCTCTGTTTCCACACCTTCCTGTGACGTGGCGGAGTGAGGATGTGCCCTCTCGAGCCCCTGAAACTTCCCATCGCTGCAACCGGGGCCTAGACATAGCATGTTCCTCCAGGATAACCCCAACCCTGTGATATTCTCTTAAAGCTCAAGCTGCCACTTGCCCACCGCTTAGGGAAGAGCCGCCCACGGGACTAATAATGGGACTCAGAGTCAGCAGGGGCTGAGGAGGCCAAGAATCTCTCTCCCGCAGCTCTGGATGCTGCATGTCTCCCTGCCACCAGCCCCGTCCATCTGCCATCGCCACCTGTCCCCACTGAGGCTGCTGAATAACTGCAAATTGTGTAAACCCAGCTGTGAATAAATGATTAATCAGCCCAAGGGACAAGAGGAGTTCTGGGGTGTAAATCGCATCTGAACAGCTCCATTGGAGCTCCTGAGAGTGTCTGCCCAGGGGAGAAGAATGAGGGTTTGCCCACCAGAACGCCCGTGAACACAGGGAGAACATCTGGAAGCTTGGCCTGGAACCAGACGTGGAACCTAGGGAGAAAACACCAGGTGGTTTATCTCTACATCACACAAACTGTAACAAACAGTGTCTCGGGAGCAGTCACGAACGGGGTCACGTGATCTCACTGAGTGCTCCCCGCCTCCGCACCCAACGTCACCGGGTTTGTAACGGGGCTTGAGTTTTGATGTTCCACACAACAGAATCCCCAAGCTCCTGCCAAAGGGACACCGCTCGGGCCGGCTCGGGGCACAGGCTGCGCCCCAGGCCGCCACTTGCCTCACAGTGGGAGGAGCACCTGACACAGACACAGCTCTATGACACCGCCGTAAAAAGCCTGGCCTGAGCGAGGGCCGAAGAACACTCAGCTTTCTCTCATCATTTCCAAGCAACGTACCCAGGAGTTCATGAGGAGACTAAAAACAAATCAACCAACCCACTATTTTTTGAAAGGCAGAACTTAAGAATTATGACAATCTAAGACCTTTACTGTCCTCCTCAGTGGCTAAGCACGGCTCCACCCAGAGTGGGTGGTGACTACCGAGAACGCTACTGGCTCCCAAGAGGCTAAACGTGACGTGCGCTTTCCTTACGCAGGTCCAGTCAACACACTTCTCCTGGCCAGCTCCCACCAGCCATTGATGACGGGGATGCTTTCCTGCCCAGCAGGTCATGTGGGAAAGACATTAAAGCTTCCACCCCCAGGAGAGACTGGACTGGCCCACCACACCGTCCAGCAGCATCTCCTCTTCCACACCATGAATCCTGTGATGCTCAGCTGGCCCGGCCTCCCACATACCGCACATTTTAAAACACCGGACAATTCAACAAAGATTGAATAGGAAACATTACCTTTCTTCCAGAGCCAAATCTGTGAGCAGTCCCATGGCTGAGTTGGCCTTCTTATCTGAGAAATCAAGAAAGGAGACCAGGGCTTCCAACAACCTGCAAAAATCCAGAAAGGGCTGTCTTCCAACTGACAGCACCCCAACAGGAGACCTCACAAGGACACCACCAGGAAGGAGAAAAGCTGACAAAGTTGGTCTTGCCACATGCCCTCCTAGGAAGCCAAGAGCCTTGCCCACCGCGGAGACAGACACTCTCCCACAGGAACAGCTCACCACTTAACGCCAATTCCCAGGGTGGAAGTTTTAACCAAAGTTCATTCAGTGTGCATAACTCGAAAGGGCTCTCTAGCGCCTCTGCCACGTGACTGTGGCTCAGTCAAGTTCGAGCACAGAAATGACATCCAAATGGCATGACCTAATGGTGTCTACAGTGGGAGGCCCCCAGTGAGGCTGGAGTTGGAGTAAGGTCTAAGATTTTGACAGGCTGCAGAACAGATCAGATGGGATTCATAATTCAAAGTCCACAGAGCTGGTAGTTCTGAATAAGAAGCAGAATTGGGAGACCTGGCTCACAACCAATTCTGGTGAAAAAGATTTAGGGCTGTTAGCCAATTGTAGACCCAGTGTGAGCAAAATGTGGTGCCGCTGTCAAAATGAGTGAATGCAACTGCAGGCCGCCCTGAGGGGCCAGGGGCACCTGGACCAGGGAGTGGGAGTCACTTGCCCACCAGCAGAGCCACACAAAGCTCTTCAGTGTGCTAGAGCTGTGCTCAGCCTAGGAGAGTACTGAGCTCCAGTCTCCTGGGAGGCCACACGTGTGAGAATGTTTAGAAACAGATACACACAAGAAGCGTGGGCACAGACTCTACCGGTGGAGGTGTGCGGGATGGAGGTGAAGTCCCCAAGGAGGGAAGCTACTTCAGCTATCACTGGCAAGCACGCTGCCGGCTCTCCCTTTGTTCAGTCAGTAACACTGAGTCAGTGCTAGGCGATGCAGCGGGTTCCGGAGGCACTGATGAAACAAGACGGCGTCCCAACTCCAAGATCTAGTAGGCAGGCACCAGGGCCTTGGGGGCAAGGAGCAGGGCACCTCAGACACAGTGCACAGGACTCACAAAGACCATCCAGAGGAAAAGCAGGGATGGTCACAGTATGCTCAGGTAGCACTACGGCTTGATGGGGAGACAGGGAGTAGAGACGCTGGACAGAGCTGGGCTGGGGAGGGCCTGACGCTGGACAGAGCTGGGCTGGGGAGGGCCTGACGCTGGACAGAGCTGGGCTGGGGAGGGCCTGCTACGTCCTGTTGCGTCCTGTTGCGGTGTGGTGGTGGACAAGACACTTGCTCCTTCTGTGTGCAGGCAGATTCTTGCGCCCCAGGAATGCACTTCTCGGGAAGAAAGCCTCCCGAGTCTCACAGGGAGTGGAGAGGTAGCTCAAGAGTTTTAACTAGGAAATGACAGGACAGATGTGTGTGCTAGACAAATCCCTTTGGCGGCACCCTGGAGGCTGGCTGGGTGCAGGCGGTAGAGGAGGCAGGGAACCCGACAGGGAAAAGTAGGATTGCACAGACAAGGACGAAAGGAGGGAGCTGAGGCAGGGACGGAAGAGTCAAGAAGAAAGAGGGGCCCACGGAGACCTAAAAGATGACTGGACATGTTGGAAAAGCGCCAGAAGGAAGTGAAGCCGGAAATGCTGAGACAGAAAGCACAATAATCATATTACAGATGCGTGTGTGGGGGGGGATGGGAGGGAGGGGGGGACTCTCAGGATCTGCCTTAGGTGATAGTGGCTGGAAATACCATCTTTGAAAACAGGAAATTCAGGTAGGGGGTCCAGCTAAGGACCCCTCCTGGATTTAGTAAGTGTGTGGCACGCCAACACGGAGCTGCCCAGTGGCAGTGCTGGAGAGACCTACACACGAGAAAGGAGCCGCACGTGACAAAGACAAGCGTAGGGCTCTAGGGCTGTGACTTCAGAGGGTGACAGCCTAAGGGGCCCACAAAGGAAGGCAGGGAAGCACGACGTCTTGACAAGCACGGGTGTGGAGTGCGATGGAGGCCACAGTGATCCAAAGGCCCCCATACCATCAGGAGATAACGGGAGACAAAGACAGAGCCCCCTGGGTCGGGCAGGACTCCAGTCACCTCTAGCTGTGGTGCTGGTTTTATTCAGCAGCTTGTTGAGGAGTGGCTGGAAGGTAAATCACCGGAGCAATGCTGAGGAACTAGGAGCCAGCTGGAAGCGGTCAGCCAGCGCAGATTGCTCCAACACAGACAGTGGGAGTCGGTGAGTCTTTGGAGACCGTCCACAGACTGCACCGAAGCCCCAGGGAAAGGAGGCAGAACTGTCCTGGATGGGACGGGCTTAGCAGTTTGTATTCAGCGTGAGGAGAGCATCTTATATTGATGGGTCTGTTCCCCAGAAGGAGGCAGTCTTGGGAGGAAAGAGCTGCTCCTTTCACTAGCTGGAGAAAGACCTCAGAGCAGTGAGAGCACCATCCCGATCTCCCTGCAGGGCTTCTGGGACAGCCCAGAGGGGGCGTTGCTGGGTGGGGCCCCACTGCTTCCAAGGATGCCGGCAGGTGCTGCTCTCCCCACAAGTCCCAGCCTTCTAAGAGTGGATTCCAGAGCTCTTGCTGTCAGAGGTCATTTCTTTCACAGTTAATTCAGACACTTCCCTCACCAGTTTAAATGCTTTCTTCGGTCTTGAGGACTAACGCTGATGAATCTGAAGGGCCCAGAGGAGCCAGCAGACTGCGGTCACCTTGGTTGCCGCCCTGGGAGGTGAGTAGCGACTCCCTCTCCCTGCGACAAACGCACAGCCTAGGGGGCGCAGCACCTGAAGAGGACAGGGCGTCCCCACCTACTCCCCCTCTCCTTTTTTGGTGGCCGATCTTCCGCCCTGCTGATGAGCAGCAGCCCTGGAGTCAGACCGCACGTCAGAAAACAGTCCAGTGTAAGCAAAAGTGTGCTTTTGCCTCAGTTCCGGACCCTGGGCAACAGACCCAGAGGAGGGAGAAGGGGAATGACTGCAGACGCCCTTAGTGGGGCCACGCCATGTGTCAGACGTGAGGGGAGTTTTCTTCACCGTGGCGATGTCACTTGCAGGCTAACCCCAGACACCAGCTCCTCTCCTTCTACCCTGCCCACTTCTGACAAACGCTGGGACCACCTTCCCCACCAAGGGTGACAGAACCCAACTAAAGAGAAATGGAGAGCTTCAATGAGAGGGATGAAGCCAATGAGTACTGACCTGTCCTCAAGGGCGATGAGCTGCAACAGCTTTCAGTGGCCAGGAGGGAAAGCCGAGAGGGCAGAGAGATTGATACTGAATCTTTAAGACACTGCACTGGTGTCGCCATCTTTAGCCTTTTTCATTATAAGAGAAAAACAAGACCAGTTTCTCTTGATCAAGCATTTTGTAAGCACAGTGGGGAGAATTTAACAGGCACGCAGACATCACCTCTTTTAGGTTTCTACGCCTGCGAATCAGAGAACACACAGGCTCACTGAGGCTGAGTGACTTTCCTGCAACACATAGCAGAAAGCGAAAAGCAGAGGATCGGGGCTCAGGCCTTCTGGAATCTAAAGAGCCAGCACCTTCCACAAAGTGACACTTGCCCTTGCCTGGGCCCAGTCAACACATACTGGTCCCTGGAAACTTTTCATCTGGGCAGAATTCTGAGAGGAGCTATGCGTGCCTCTCTGTGGGTCAGGCACCTGCATGCAGCCTGTCCTGCTTCAGACCATCTCATTTCACTTCAGAGAATACACTCCATCTCTGTACTTGGGTCACAGAAATAAACCAAAAGAGCAGGCCTGAGGGTACTAAGCAGAGACAGCTTGGCTGACTGAAGAGAGCAGTGGGGCTGCGTAAGATGATCGTGAACACCGCTCTCCAACACGCAGGGAAAATTCAAACTGAAACGGAAGCAATTCAAAGAGCTGGGGGGGGGGGGCGGGGAAGCTTATGAAAATTATAGTTAGCAACACTCCAAAAACCAAAACCAACTCAAAAAATGCATGTCAGAGGAATGGAGAGAACAACCGCAGTCATCTGAAATGTGAAGTGTGCTTCCGAGGGTCGAAAGCTGCGAACCGCCAATGCGCCTATGTGAGCTGAACTCGGGGGCTCGCCAAGACCTGTCCTATGAGCGCCTGGGCTTGTGACTGGGCCGAGCACGAGGGGTAACCACAGTGGAGGTTAATCATCACCCTGTCCTTGGCACACGGCGGATCCCCTCACCCACACGGCACAGGTGCCGGAAGTCTCAGCTTGGCTCCGGGGAGGTCTGACAGAACTTCACATGCGGTTCCGTGATTTCCTGACAGAGTGAACAGGAGCCGGCCCCGAGACTGGGGCCACAGCTGGGACTCCCGGCGCAGAGCCCCTGAGTTTTCTGCTCTATTTCTCTGGCTCTGACGGTGAAATGGGGAAGCAACTTTACCTTGCCTACCTTGTAGGCGAACAAGAAGTAAAATGTGATCATGGTCGAAAGAATCAGAAGTGAACTTCTGTTTTTAGCTTATGTATGAAGCACTTATGAAGCAAGCTATAATCACTGCCATGATTTCCATTAGGCTGAATCATACAAACTGCCAATATTTGATGTAGAAAGTGGCGATTTCACATGTTCAAATAATCTTTAAACTGAAAGCTTGGGCAGAAGTGCTGTGGCTTGGAGATTAGTAGCATCGAAGTGGAACAGGCACGCGCCCTGTACCTATTACCTTAAGCCTGTACAGGCCTATCTGAGGTATCTGATAGGTGCCTTAGTTATTCACGCTCTCCCATGCTCCAGAAGTGCCATAAGAACATGCAAGCAAGAGTACTGCCTGAAACCGGAATGAAAGATCAGTAAGGATAGAAGCAAGGGAGAGCCAGGACTGATGCGGAAGGGCACATGGCCTGTTTTAGGACGGGATCCCCAAGTGGCCAGGAAGAAGCCATTCCAAGTCCACCATGCATGCACACAGGAACTGTTTAGTTCAGAGTCTGAACCGAGGGCTTGGTCTCGGGACTCCCTATGACGGAATGTGCCATTCAAGCGTTCTTTCTTAGCCACGCCCTGTGAAGTCTGACGGTGCCATCTGGCATCTGGGATGGGAGCGGGGAGTCTGACTTGGTGGGTGCTAAGTGAATGGCCAGGGTAGGTGGCCAGCACGGGCTTACTGGGTGAGGTCCAGGTGGCTGATGATGAGGCCCCGTCCGTCCTCTGTCTGCGCGAGCTGCAGCAGCAGGGCCAGGCTCTGCTGCCGGATGGCCAGGACGCCACAGGCCAAGAGGGCGGGCAGCAGGCTGCCCGTGGCAGGGTGCATCACAAGCAGACGCTGGTTTTCCTCTGTAAAAGACAAGCGAGCTGAGAGCAGACAGTTTCCCACGAGCCTGAGTGGCAACACGACTCTCACCGCACACGTGAGGGGCACACACACTAGAAGCAGAATGCAGATCTGACCGGCCTGGTGAACCTTAACTGAGCTACAAGAGTCTGTGAGCCTCAGTCTCCTCCTCCGTGAAGAGAGGAAAGTGGCCAAACTGACAGAGCAGTTACCAGGGTGAAATGAATTAACTCGTGATCACGCCTAGAACAGAGACTGACGCCTATACATTAGCCATGATCATTATTATGGTTAAAGGTCTTTTGGTGTGTGATATCCGGAAATGTGAGGAATGGGAAAGAAATCAGCCCAACTATGGAATATCTAAATTATAGCTTTTCATAGGATGGCCAGAGCAAGCACTGGAGTTCTTTCTAGAAAAATAAGACTATTCCATGAAAACATTAGTTAATAAAATAGCCCCTCACCCCCCCGTAGGCTATGTACTGCTTCCAGGGTACTGGGACTGGGCTGCCCCTTCAGCCAGTTCACCTCCTAAACAGGTAAGTGATTCTGGCAGAAACACAGGCTGGAGAACGAGAAGAAGGCATGAACAGCAGTTTGTCTGGGGTTTGTCTAGTTCTTCTGGAAGCACAGCTCACTAACAATTCAACCAACACAGAAGCAGATCACACTGACACAGAGTGCCCTTCTCCCTCTCCTATCCCTCCTCCAGGCAAGTCACTATGAGGCTCACGCGATCAGTGTCAAACATGAGCTATCTCTCATGCGACTGGCTTCTCTCCCCACTCGACAGTGTGGGAGTGGCATATTTCCATGTCCTTACTTTTGAACATCCCTACCTGACACAAGCTATGCGACGGCTATCGTCTGACAGATTCCGGGTAGCTCATGAAAAGCTCTGAAAGATCAGACTTTCCACGCTAACTTATGTTATGACCTCCCTTTTTTGTATAATCGTAATATCAAAATATTCTGAGCAACTTTCAGCCTACAATTGGATTGCCTCAGATGCATAAGGCCTGCCTGCTCTGACAAGCAAGCACTGCACCAGGATGAGAAATTCCTCTGAAGTCAAAAGTGACTTAACAATTGGCTGATCAATAAAAGCAAAAGGGCTGTTTCTGCAAAGTCTCTCACTGCCAGACAAGGAAAACCCAAATCTTATTCTACTATCTCACCTAGCCTCCTATTCAGCTTCTACGGAATTACTCAAACTTCCTACTGTCTGGCTTTAGATATGGAAATTCCTCCAGGTTGCCTGTTTTAGAGCTAGTCAAGTTTTTTACCTGCTACACTTCAAAGCAATCCACAGAAGTCTTTCTGGCTAGTCTTTCAGGATTCTACTACCTAGTCTTTAGATAAGGAAATTCACCCATGTCTCCTATTTAGAGCAAATTACACTTTCTACTGTCTGAACCTCAAGGAAACTTACTTAAAACCTTTTAGCAAGTTTCTTCAAAGTAGGAAACTTACTTAAAACCTTTTAGCGAGTTTCTTCAAAGAACTTTTCCAAACTTGATTAGCAAGAAATTTCCTCTTCCTGCGACTCCAGACCATTCTTAGAAAAAAGGTGATTGTGATCTTAACCCCTTTCGTATGCTAATGCCATCCCCCTGCCTGCTGGAAATGTATAAAATAAACCTCTGCTGAAGGCAGAGCAGGAAGATTTGCACCCAACTCCCGTGTCTTCCTCACTCCCACTCCTCTCCCCCTCTTGGAATCTCCGCAAGCCGACGCCTTCCCATCTTAGGGTCCTGCCTGTGTTGCCTCCAGACACCTCAAAAGTTGGAGCTGGTCTCCGACACCTACCCTTTTTCAAAACTTTGTAGCTATTGAGTTGGAGACAGAAAAATTTCATTACATCACAGACTGGTTAACATCCAGGAACAAATGATCCCAGCCCACCAGAGCAGGGTCTCAGAAACCAGAGCTGAATGCGGACTGAAGTCAGGGCCGCAGAGAGGGCTCTGTCCAGAGCCACAGTCAGTTACACAAGCTCACCAAGTCCCGCCTCTCTGCCCCCCCCCCCCCCCCGCAAGGGGGCTTAAAAATCATCCCAGCAGCCAGCACAGAACCCCGCAGAGCGCAGGGCATCTTGACATCAGTCTGAGCCTAGTTTCCTTCGTGTATGAGGCCTTCCGGCACTTAAGACGATTCCTCCATTCTACTACATTAAGGGGAAATGGCGCTATCTCACACGCAGCATTTCAGTTCTCAAACTGCAGCTGTACACTCTGGCTGCCCGCCCCCACCCCAGGAGCCTTGGACAAAGAAGACAGGGCTATCAATTATTCATAGTTTCTGTGTTTTGTGTCCACGCTCAGAACTTTTCCTATGAAAACAAACTTTTTAAAATAGGAATATACTTAACATTTTTACTTACAGCGATATCACAGAAGTAGTAAGAAAGACTGTACAAACTTACACCCCACGGGCCCTCCCTGGTGGTGCAACACTATGAAGCGAGCGCAGCCACTGCAGCATGAGTTCCATGCCTCACATGGCGTGGCAGACCTCTCCTGTCTCACCCTTAGCAGTGTGTTTGAGTACATCTGCCTGTACTGATCCCCACTCTCTGGTGAATCCTCTCACCCCCACCTCTGGCCTATATGTCCCTATATGTATAAATAAATAATTTTTTTTTAAGATTTATTTATTTGTGCATAAAGAACTGGGGTACAGGCCAGAGGCTCAGGGGTGCCGAGAGGCTTCACCAGAGACAGAGTGGGGAGCAGAACAGGCAGATCGACGAAGTACACTGCTGAGGGAAGCAGCTGGCGGGTCAGGAGAGGTCTGCTGCGCCATGTGGTCACCTCCAGGGCAGGTGGGAATCGAACTCATGCGGAAGTGGCTTTAGCTTCTCAGTGCTGTGCTTTAACCCGCTGCGCCACCAGGGAGGGCCCAATAAATAATTTTTTCTTTTTAAAAAAAGTAAGCCTTCAGAAGATGTTTATACAAAAAGACAAATTAACAAGGTAAGTAAACCCCCTGTATATTACTGTGCCAATATCACACACCATCCGGTGTCACGAGAAGTCAGCAGGGACTGTTACCCTTGGTGCTGAAATGGGTGCTGCACTCAGCAAACCAGAAAAATACTCTTCTCCCGGCCAGAAAGGAGAACCTCTACTGCAACACTCGAGCAGAAGCTCTGAGTCCGCTAGAGCGGGACGAGTGCCTGGGCAACGGGCCCACCTTTGTGCTGGCACTGACCTCGCCGCTGGGCAGGCTGCAGGTCTTATTCTGACCCACACACTTGTCTGGAGGGGAGGCTGGGGGTGCCTAGACGTTCATGCCCAGGGCAGGGAACGATGCAGTAACATGCACTAGGCTGTTACGGCAAGGGCGGCGCTTACCGTTCTCTTTGCACACCGCCTGCCAGAGCCTGAGGACAGACACACACACCGTCTCCTCCACTGCGTCTCTTGCTCCTGTGGAAAAGCACCTAGAACGGACCACGGACAGCAGTGTTACAACAGAAATCAGTCTGGGGCTTTTCACTTGTCTTTATTTTTCCTCATCATCCCTCAGGGTAAGGACATAATTCTATGCTCCAGAGCCACAGGCGACAGGGCGGACAGACTGAGTGCTGAGTGAGCGTTCCAGAGCAAGGGCGCAAGTGGAGGAACTGCGACTGCAGGGAGGGAAACAGGGCTGTGGAACATGAACCTGGTGGCCACAGCCCACGAGGTGCAGGGGCCTCCTCACACTGGGAAGCACGTGCTAGTGATTCCTGAGACTCGGGAACTGCACCAGAGCAACGGAATAGAAAATAAAACCAAATTTGGCAAACTCCTCCCATCATCTGGGTCTTCCGTCAGCTGAAATTATAAAGGGGGCCAGCTCGACCTGGTTGATCTCCTTTTCCAATGCGACCAGTGAATTCCAAAAGTGGGAAAAAATAACAATCTTGCAAAAACTGGTGTGAAACCAGAGAATGGTCTTCTCCTCTGACTCTGACATGCTTGGAGGCGCCTGGAAGGCTGGTTGACCTTTGCTCTCACCACTTAACTGCATTAACAACTCAAACTCCCTGAGGCTCAGTGTTCAAGGGGAGCATGGGACAGCTCCCAAGGGCACCAGTGCACCTGAGGGTGGCACCACCAGCCTGCCTGTGCCACGCATCTGACTTCCCAAGAAAGGGCTGTCCTTCCGCGCTGCTGTTGGGCTGTCTCACAAACATCCCTACCTTCTTATGACCTCATTCTCACTGATGATACTAAATCCACTGTGTGTTCTGAATAAAGTCCGTTCTGTGCCTGGAAAAAATCCACAGAAAATCACATCAGACTCCTGAACTGCTTTGCTTGGCTAACCTCCAACTGTAACACAACCAGTTGATAATAAGAAACCCAATGTGGAATGACAAGGTCACCAAGTTAGCATTTTGGAGGGGAACGCTACCTTGCACAGTGAGGGGGAAAAACAGTTGCTCCCAGTCACGCAGTGGCATGTGCGGCCGCTGCTCAGAGGAGGAGCCCCGAGTCTGGCAGCCCGCCGGTTATCTGACACCCACTGTCAAGTAATCTCAGTCCCCAAGAGATGCTTAACTAACTGGCATGTCCGTTTGTTCTTAAATATTTATTCAGAAGTTTCCATACTCTCCAAGAAGCTACTGAAGTGGTATTGAGCCTCCTTCACTGTGCACTAAAGGGAGCCAGAGACTGTCTAATTGTACACACATCCTGCCACTGAGGAGCAAACATGGTTTGAGGTCTGGCATCCGTGTTTACAAGAAGTGCAGAAACAGGTCTGGTTAGCAGGAGAGCTGCTGTCTGCTCAGAAACCATTCAATGTCCTGAGCAGCCATTCAGTGTAGCGGAGGTGAACCTTCCAGTTTATCCTACGAAATTCTGTCTTTTCTTCTTACGGTGGAATGGGATGTTTTGAGAGGATGTGGGGTGCAGAGGGTGTGGAGGGCTGTGCAGGATGTAGGGAGCATATGAGTGGTGGGACTGTGATGGGCACACAGGTGATGCAAGTGTGAGGTGTGTGAGGGCGGGCAGTGTGGCGACATCGGTGTGTGAGTGCACGCCTTGTGCACGTGCACTGTGAGGTGTAAGGACATACGGCCTAGCCATGCCGTCGGATGTGCTGTCTAAGGCATGTGTGTTCAGTGTCCGAATGTTGTGAGAAGACAGAGTCGGAGACAGTGTGCACTTCTACCTACCCACTTCAGCACCTCCACTACAGTAGATCTTCAGTCAGTATTTGCGGAAGGGAGAAAGGGACCCCCCTTGCCTTCTAAGGGCAGACCGCTAAGCTCTGTCCCTTCATACCAGCAACAGTCATGAGCTCACACACAACTCTGGCTTACAATCCTCCATCAATTCAGTCAGGATTTCAATCCCCCCTGCATAGAATAAGGGGTTCTGATCAGGCTTGGCAAGATTCTCCAGGAGATTCTTGGTCGTCACAGCTGTGTTCTTTCCTGATTCCAGTACTTCATGTGCTTCCTTCTCCTGAAGCTCTGCTTTCTCCCGAAGATCTACTTGATTCAGGTAATCTAGCACAACAAGGAAAAGCAAAGCAAAATGCTAACCATCAACATTAGCACACAAGGAGCAACTTTTCTTGAGAATGGGAGGCTGAGAAGTATACAGCATTAAAAAAATCCAAACTCTTCATAGGCATGGAAAATTTTACAGTTCCCAGTCTACACCCAGGGTCTTCCACCATCATGGGGATTCAAGGACATTATTCAGGTCTAGCAGCTCTACAGGAGGGTGAAGAGAAAGCAGGCAGACGAGTATTTGATGGGCACAGGGAGACGTGCAGGGCAGTGCCAGCAAGGGGGAGCTGACTGATGGAAAGGCCGCTGCTGCTGCTGCTTTGGGCCGAGTGCAGAGAGCGTGGACAGCACTCCAGACGGCGCAAAGGGGGGCAGAAGCCACATGGAGCGCAGCAGCGACAGGCTCACCTTTCACCTGCGTCTGCAGCTGGGGGCTGATGTCTAAGATCTTCTGAAAACACTCTCTAGACTGTAAAAGAGAAACAAGACCTTGATGAATGGTTGGGGGTTAAGGCGATTGCGAGCAAGTCACTGGGAATCACAGGCTTTGGCATCCTCTAGGACTTCTGCTCTCAGCATAGGAGGTAGGCACAATATGCAGCTGTAATTCTGTCTAGGCTTCTCTGGTTCTGTGGGACAACAAGTATTGTATCAAACTTTATTCAAAAAAAAAAAATCAGAGAGAAAAAAAATGGCACGGTCAGATATAGCCTGTGATGGAAAATACCCAGTTCTAAATTCTTGTGGATCACGTCTGGCTAGGATAGGACTAATCTAAAGTAAATGCAAAATTTAGATATGATATTTGCACTGAGAGAGAGCAGGAGGCTACTTGTCAAATATGTCCATGGGGAGTGAGGAATAAATGAAGCTAGACATGTTGTTGACAGAGACTTGGGATCAGGAAGGGAACTGCCTATTTAAATGTCCAAGGTTACGGAGAGTCAGTATAGAGGCCCCTTCAGCATTTGTATGAAAGTCAGCTGGGAAACTTGAGAGTGAGGGGCTCTTACTGAGGAAATGTCAGGGAAACGGTTCTGGGAAAAGGAAAATACTAGCACATGGTGCATGTGCTGGGCTTTCAGAAGCACTATCCTCAGAAATACCAGGGACTGCCCAGACCATAAAACCACCAGTTATTGAGACACAAAGTGTAGGGGAAAAGATGGCTTAAGATATCTTGAAGGCCCAAGACTCGCCTAGAAGACTAGGATTAAAAGAAATGAAGAAAAAAATCATATAAAAATAGAATAATGACACAGAGTAGAAGCACACATATCAAACACGATGATTTCTACAGACACAATGTGTCCCACCATACTCACATGTTAAAACCTAACCCCCAACACCATGGTATGTGTAAGTGACTAGGTCACAAGGATAGGTACATTCGTAAATGGGGTAAGCGACTTTATAAAAGAGGTCCCAGAGAGCTTCCTCACTCCTTGTGCTGTCTATGAAACAGGAAGTGGGTCCTCACCAGATACCGAATCTGCTAGTGCCTTGATGTTGGACTTCCCAGCATCCCAAGCTGTGAGAAATAAGTGTTGTTTAAGCCACCAGCTTATGGTATTTTGTCATAGCAGATGCAGAAGACTAACCCAGTGACCTTAGTGTATCCAACTTATTTTCAACCCTGCATTTCATCTATCAGCTATTTCTGTTAGCTTCACCATCCATGTATATCCAGAATTCCGTTACTTCTCATCATCTCCATGATAACCAGCCTGGTACAAGTTATCACCTCTGACTGGAATGATTTACTGCAGGTGCCTTCTCACTGGGTCTGTTTTTGTTTTTGTTTTTTCCTAACTACACCAAGATATCTTTTTTATACAGCGATCAGAATGATCCTCTAAAACACCAGCAAGATCATTTCACCCTTCGCTCAAAACCTTCCAACGTGTCCATCTTACTCAAAGTGAAAGCCAAGTTCCTTCCAAAAGCCTGTAATTCCTAGGGGGTCAGTGCCCTACCTACTCCATCATCTACATGACCTCAACTCCTGCACACTCCTCATTTGCTCCATTCCAGTTATCCTGTACAGACCTCGACTCCACTACATGTCTACACGGTCTGCCCACTTGACCACCACCACCGCCTTCCTTCAGCATGACCTTTCCTCATCACACTCCATAAGATTAAAGTTACCTTCACTTCCTGATTTAGTTTTCTCAACGGTACTTATCCTACTCAACATACTACACATCCACTTATTTTATTTATTTATTTGGACACTAAGCGACCCATTTCTCAGGAATGTGAGTTCCATTAAGTCAAAGATTTTGTCTTGTTCACAGGCCAATTCCTACTGTCTAGGACAGTACCCGGAACATAGAAAACACGCAAAGAATATTTGTTAAATGAATCTATTAATTGAATGAATAAATTTTGGTGGAAAAAAGGAGGCAAACATTTTCTTAATTCATTTCTCTAATATTTAACCTTATTATAAGGAGCCTATTACTTTTACAATTAAAATCCAATAAGGAAAAGAATTTAAATGTACAATAGAGATATTTTCTTTTTAAAATACAAGCTGCTTTTTAAATGGAAAAACATCCCATGTAAATAGTGCAGCCACTTTGTAAGACTCTCCGGCAGTTCCCTCAAAGGGGAAGTTGTTATCACGACTCAACAGTTGCGGCCCTATATACTCAAGAAGACTGTAAACATGTCCATATAAAAACTGGCACACGTGGCCCTCCCTGGTGGCGCAGCGGGTTAAAGCACAGCACTGAGAATCTAAAGCCGCTTCCGCATGAGTTCGATTCCCGCCTGCC